CGCTACTAGGGGCTCCTGGCCATGCTACTAGAAGCAAGAACACTACTAGGGGCTCCTGGCCTTTCTACTAGGAGCAAGAACGCTCCTAGGGGCTCCTGGCCTTACTACTAGGAGCAACAACGCTACTAGGGGCTCCTGGCCTTACTACTAGGAGCAAGAACACTACTAGGGGCTCCTGGCCTTACTACTAGGAGCAAGAACGCTACTAGGGGCTCCTGGCCTTACTACTAGGAGCAAGGACGCTACTAGGGGCTCCTGGCATCGCTACTAGGAGCAACAACGCTACTAGAGGCTCCTGGCCTTACTACTAGGAGCAAGAACGCTACTAGGGGCTCCTGTCATTACTACTAGGAGCAAGGACGCTACTAGGGGCTCCTGGCATCGCTACTAGGAGCAAAGGACGCTACTAGGAACAAAGGGCTTCGCTTACCAAGTGCCTAAAATGTACTGGTACCGCATCACACATCTCCGATGGAAGCCAAGTCTTTGGCGCACTGAATATGTTGTGATTCCAACTCTCGTTCATTTCGGCCTCCACTTGAACTGCTTCACGACCCGTAGCTGTGAATTCGAACCAGCCCTTTAAGGGCCACAATGCCTGCTCAAGGCTTTGCACGGACTTGGCATAGCTGCTACAACATGGGTGGCTATGTTGACAAAGTGTGGGCCTCTGACAGAGGTTCCGGCAAACGTCCGCTGAGCTTCACAATGTTTATGAAGTCATGAACTCTTCTGTTGGTTTCTGCATCTTGCCACTGGCCTCTTCACGCAACCGTTCCACATGGCGTCGGGCCAACCATCCCCGCCATGCAGTCTGCGCAGCTTTGTGAGAGGTCACGAAACGGGGTATGGCCGGGACAACTCCACGTTCTGACATGTTCTAGCCGGTGGGTTTTGATCCAAGTGCAACGGTTCTATTCTCGATTCAAACGATCTATATAAAGTTTGGCTCCCATCAAGACGCGACAATAGAAGTTTGCAGATTCTTCATGGGATTCATGGATGATGAGGATGCACACCGCGACAGCGCCTGGATTTGTGTAGCTGCGAAGTAGGATGTAGTGTTCAGAACGCCAATCACGACCATCTCCTTGGTGCATCTTAGTTTGTCGCTCCAAACTGTGGCATCTTGCCTTCTGCTTCCCTGTTCTTGAAACATGTTGTTAAATTGCAAGAGGTGGTAAAGACAAGGGTTCGAGCCTGTGCCAGGTATCTCTTGAAAAAGGCCTCAGCAGCGAGTCTTCAACCCCATCTGGCGATGTTTGACCACAAATGCAGTGGATGACTTGACAATGAAGCAGTGTTCTCTGTACTTAATTTGGCTTGACCATTGATGAGCTTAGCATGTTGCGGTCAGCGATACTCTGAGCCTAAGGTACAGCTACGGCCACAGCCCAGCCTGCACGGCCACAATATTTTCGAGGTTGGCCGCCCAGGCAGCCTGAAGAGTCATGCGTCTGGTTTTCGCAGGTCTGCAGCATCAATTTCTCACTATCTCATTGTCCTTGTTTGGTGCATTTAGCTTTCTGGTCTCATCATGCACACAACACAGACTATGCTCTGCACATTTCGCTTTTCGAAGATTAGGTTTTTGCCTGAGTCGCTCTGATGTCTTTAAAAGCTACAGTAACACAACAAAACAGCGGCATGCTGATCTCTCTGCCTCTTGTGTGCGTTCATCAAAACTTGCATCTGAGTATTTGGGTCTGGTACGCCGCACCAGGAAGCCACGAGCATGACCTTTGCAGGATCGCTTTGGTCAACTGAGTGATGCTCCACAAACGAAGTCCGGGCGTCAAGTCTCCCTGCGGCCTACCCCCAAAACAAAAAAACTGAATATTATATAGCCAGTTTTATTCACGTTTTACTGTATATGTTTAGGGTTGCAAGGCGAAGCGCTCTGGATCTTGATGGCTGCCGCTCTTCTTCTCGAGGCTTCCTGATGAGTTCAACAAATGGAAAAGCGACATCGTCAAAGGCGTGCAGTCTGGAGTCTAAAGTGGAGTGCGGCAGTGCTGCTGGGGCAAGTCTCATTTAGGGTGGAATGATTGAGCTTTCTACCAACTATATAGTTACTACTGTGTCATCCAGTCCTTAGCAGCTCGAAGCCCTCTTCAAAAACAACCTTTGGCCCCAGCCCAAGTTCTGTTTGCATTGTTGCCCATGCATCTTTGTAATTGTGTTTGCCGTTGGGACATGCGTCTGCAACGGATAGCTAGTCGATCTCCTTTTAGAATTCTAGACTCTAGACCAATTAGCCAAAGCAAGTGCAAAGGGGGAAAGCGATCCGGACCTGCGCAAAACTCATCAAAACCCACCCACAATGGGCATCCATACAAAAGACACGCGCCGTGGCAAGTATAAATATCGCCGCTTTCATTAAAAAACATATTGGTTCAACCATCTGGCATGCAAAACTGCATTGTATGTTTATATCTATCTTGGATGATGGCCAAACTCTTTCTCTCTCTCTCTCTCTATGGCAGTTACAGAACGCAAATAAAGGATAGTGTCTTGAAGTGCCTTTTGTTGTGTTTTTTGGCACCCCTGGATCAACTGCAGGCCACAATCATCCAAAGGCGGGCACCTCTAGGCAACTGTCCACCATGCTCCGCACGCTGCATAGAGCCATCTCAGTTGCTGGACATAGCTCTCTACAGTTTGACAAAGCCTGCACATGTCAGCGGGAAGTCTCACCTGTAAAGGAACCAAAGACTCCAGGTGCAAAGGTCTCAAAAGTAAACATGTCACATCAAGTGAAAGCGCTAAGGCCGTGTCAGTCTTCAAGCGTGAAATTCTGCCGCGGGCGAGATGACCTTGTTTAGCTAAGATGTTGAAGCGAAAGGGCCCAAGTTATCAAGAAAACAAGCAAAAAAGAAGGTGCACCTTGTTTCAAGGGGCCTTTTTAAGGGGCTCTCAAGTCCACCTTTTTTCATATCTTTCCTGATTGTCCTAAGAAAGCTTGCTCGACCTTCAGTGACCAGCCTCGAATCATCTTTTGGCAGTTGACGATTGCAATCGTCTGCCAATTGGTCACACCAACCTGCGGCAATGGAGGACATCTAAGTGTCCACTGAGAAGCCCGAAGGCTAGCATTGGAGGCTCACATCTCTGGCATACATGGGCCTCCCCTTGACATTGCAGTGAAAGCGTTCGCACTGACTGTAACTGCCCGAAAGCATGTTCGATCAAAAGAGTTGCATTTGATCCTGTCCAGTATGCTGAAGAAGGTGATCAATCCGTGGCTGATCGGTGACAGCCAAACTTGAGTTACAGCTATGGTCAAAATGTCAGAACTATTGAACCATCAATGGTCAAAAGAGTCAACAGTCATTTGGCATCTTTCTCAATTTCCACCGCACCCGCCCAGGCCTTGTTGAAGATATCAACAAATCGGAAACCATCAGCAGGCTCTTCACCTTGAACAACAAAAAAGTTGTATGGCTCTGGAAGATCCGCAAGGACACAAAAACATTGATTTGGCCACCGTCAACCTGCCTGGTTCAGCATCCGCCCATGGAGCAACATAGATTTTCCATGACCAAGGCATCACCGTGCGATGCGAATTCAAATTCAAGGAAAAGACCGCCTGCCAAGGACGCACAGGCGCTTGAAGAAGGCAAGGTTGAGTCCAAGTCTGAGACACCAGATTTAGAATGATTTAGATATGTACAGATTCTCGATACTCCGCAGCTGAAATCTATCATCCTCTCTAAGACGGCCTGAACTGGCTGTTGTCGCAGAGCGATTTCATGAAGCTCCTTCCTGAGCAAAAAGACTCGTACCTGGAGCCGATGGCAAGGACTAGGAATATCCAAAGAACCACTATATATTATTCCTTTGGAACTTTGAGCAGGAATTTTGCTGAAGAGGAACAAACATGTTGAACATGCGCTTGGCAACCTGGCTACATCTGGCTACACACCTTGACAAAGCCAAGTCAAAACGCATGACACATACTCCCACTGGCCTGTCGCTGAATGGTCGTGGCGCCTCCCGCCCAGCGGATGAGCTTGCGGCGCCCATACTCCCGGCGCGCCAAGGCCATGCGGACTGGAAGCGAGAAAAGTTCAGCTCGTTTGGCAAAAGCAAACCAGCAAACTCATATTTATCAGACTGTTTCTGTACGTATTCATATTCCCAGCAATACATCATCCAAAATGACACCTTGTTGATGCTCCGAAGGTCTACATGCAATCAATCACTCCCCGAAGATTTGAAGCCATGACATTTTTGCTGGAGTGCAACATGCAAAGCCGGTTCACACAAGATATCGTGTTTGCTCAAGACTGTATCGTCCTGTCTCTAGCCCCTTGTCCTAAAAGTCTAACCGCCGAGGCAAGGTTTTTCCTAGTGAATTTGCGGAAACATAAATGTCTGAACCGCTCTAGTAACAAGTGCCACGCTACTAGAAACAAGTGCCTTACTAGTAGTAACAAGAAGCTACTAGTAAACAAGTGCCTTACTAGTAGTAACAAGAAGCTAGTAGAAACAAGTGCCTACTTGCTTTTACACCTTTGAGGTACTGAAGCATTGTCAACCCTAGATACCCACCTCCACTTTGGATGACCACAGCGCTTCGCATGAGGCGATCGTATTTTGCCTCACGACGTCAAATCCTCCATGGATCTCCGGCAAAACGATGCACATGGTATCTACTGCATCGCTCTGGAAGCAGTGCTTTAGTCCAAACCGGAAGATCGCAAAAAGCATCAAAAAGCTGCCGCGGTGAGTTAGGCAAGGCCTTGTCGGCTCGCAGTCCGGTAACATACTGCCGATCTTTGTAGGCACGCCAAAGCCTTGCCAAATGGATTTGTTCAGATTGCCAATGGGCTGAGGCAAGCCAGTCTTTCTTTCAGAAGGATTCAAAAGGACTGCCACAAGATGTGTTTATATGCACCAATTCGATTCTTAAAACATCTTGAAAGATCGAGTCTTTTTATTAATTGAATCATAAACCTTTCTTGGTGCGTGCAAAACCAAGAGACTATCAGTCTAAATCAACAGCTCAAGGAGCTCGTGTCGTGCACGGGCCTCTGGATCTTTGTGGCCGCTCGATCGAGTTTCTGCTGCTTCTTTTGCGCAACCCTCCGCCTCCGAGCGCGGGAGCCAGGCTTTGGACAGAGTCGGACATGTTGGGCCTAATAGCGATGGCCTCCAACCTAGAAGCGATGGCCTCCAACAACCTAATAGCGATGCCCTCATGAACTATATATATAAACCCAACAACTTCTGTCCACAACATCCTTTGACTCACACTCACATTGACACCAAATCTTTCTGGATCGTGCGGGACAAACACTGGGTATTTATGGTCTGGAGAAGACACCCACAACCCCAGAAAAAGAAAGCAAGTTCATGCTATTTCTATATGGATCATAGGTCTGTCTTTTCCGCAGACAGTATCTGTGCTCCGGTTGAGGTGGCCTTGCTAGCCACATCCGAGCGACAGTCTGGATCTTGGTCATCTCCTAAACAGGTATTGGTCAAGAGCTAGAGCAGGTGTTGTTTTGTCTCAAGGATACCTAGCAATGAAACAAATTCAAGTCTCTAAATACCTTTACACCTTACACCTTGACTCCAAGAGTTCTTGTTCATCTTGCAGCTTAGCAGCTTGTACATGTACACCCTTCAAAACGCTAAGAAACCACAGGCATAGCGAACATGAGGAACAAAATGGGACACACATTGCCTTGAAACCCAAGCGCTCGCTGGCCTTGCTAAGGAAGCATCGATGCTTCACCAATGGCCTGAGTAGGATACTCATTTCGGATACCCTGAATTCCTGAATGTGCAACTGAAGGTCAAAAATCATGTTTGTTCTGGTTCCAATGCCACACGATGCTCATCTTGTGTTTAGCCTTCCAAAGAATCCAAAAAGCGTTGTAAGGTCCAAGCTGAAAGCGCTTTCTGGTTAGAATGCCACGAATTCGCTTCTGCGAGGGGAGCAAGCAAGTGGTCATCCAATCAATAGTTTGTGTGCAAAAATGAAAGTGGACGGAACTTTATCTAAGCAGTTGGACAGCTTTTCCAAACCTCAATAAATCCTTTGCCATGCTTGGCGCAAGATGTTAACGATTTAAAGTTGACAAGCATGCATTGCAAAAATGACAAATCGTTATAGAAACATGTAGAAACAAAATTAGACAAAGCTTGGTAGAACCCTAGAAGAGTCTTTCTAGTTGTAGCCTGCTGTCTGTACATCTTCTGCCAAGTGCTTCGATGCCCAAAGCTATGTACAAGCCACTAGGCAAAAAAGGCTCTGGTCCCGAAGCAAGCGCGAAGTCAACAAACGAAGGGTTCAACGGCGACTTGTGCCTCAGGCGCACGTTGGAAGCTTTATGACACATATCTTGCCGCAGTGTATGTATTGACGCGGAGTTCCAGAGTTCCACTTGATTGAACAATCATAGAGGTGGATTGTCGTCAAGGGGGAACAACAGGGTCTGTCTCTTGGGAGTTGCCATATACACTTAGAGGAAACTTCCAGGTAATTGAGGGATCCTGACAGCTCGGGGAACTGGATACCAAGCCACCCAGCTGCTACAAAAGCACCCTCCAGCCCTGACAGACCGATGCTCTGAGAATGTGCAAGCTGAGTCCGGCTGCGATCATAGCACTCCTGCAGGATTCGCAGGTAACGGTCCTGAGGGAAAGTGTGCGGATGAAAGCATTCGTGGGCAGGATGCTGAACAATACATGCGTTCGTTTCCGTTTGTGCGTTCCACTCTGAGTCTCTGACCCGAGTTGCCTCGGCCTCTTGTAGCTGCTCTCGAGCAGCTTCTACCTGGATCATGAAAGAGAAACGCACAAGGCAAGCCATGGCGAAAGTCATGCTTCGCAATCATCTCTAGAGTCAGGAAAACAAGAAGTCGGGAAAGAAGTCTGGATGCAGACCATCATGAAAAGGCGCGGTAGCCGCTAATTTACTTTAACAATCAACCCTACCACTCCAATTCATTGCTAGAGCCCTGCCTCCTCATGCCACATTTTGGCCTCAACATCTCTCAAGGACGCATGAAGCGAGTCTAGCACAGCTCCATCTCACCCGACTTCCAATGCTCCGAGCACAATCCACAGAGTCACACAGCTTGGTTCATAGCCGTTTCTTCAGCTTCCTTCAACTCACTCAAGAGATTGTTGTACCTGATTGATCTAGCAATGTTGATTCCTCTAATAAGTCTTCACTGTTGCACTGCACGCATGGCATCAAACCAACTTGCATGCATGTGTAGGGCTGACTCTTCTTTGGAAAGCTTTCGAATCTGTGTCTTTCCTGCAGGATTGAACACTTCATTGTCTACTGAATTCATCCATCTGGAAGAGATGCAAAAATGCCAGCCATCTTCTACACCAAAATATCACAGCAGGTCAACCAGTCTTACCATGTCTTACCAGCTTCGTTTTACCATGGAGCAACAAGTACCGCCTGTTGCTGTGATACTCAAAATTCAAGCAGACAGAAGTCCTGACCGGTCCGGTGTTGAGACGTCCTCAGTGCGCAATCCGCAATCAAGCTGCACCGAGTCCCGAAAAACCTGTGGTTGACCCGAAACGGATTCAATAGGCGCAGTTCTCACCATGAAAACCTGATGGAACCTGCCAAGACACATTCATGACACCGTGTGCACCCATCAGCCCATCAGGAGAGCCCGGGGGCCCCGCAGGTGAATCCGCAGCTTTCCGCCGAGCTGTTGGCTTGGAAGCCTCGCAGCTGTGCCCATCAAGTCTGGCTGAAACAGAAAACGTCAATGCTGAAAGGAACGAGTTGAACATGAAAACTAAACACAACTGAAACTAACTGTTAAACTGAACACACAGAATGACATGAAACAATCTAAACTCACTGGACCTACCGTAAGACCACTGTCTGCATCAGGCATGAAATAGAAACAAAAAACAGGCATGAGAGCCAACCTCAGGCTCAGCTGTTGGTCGGTCTCCAAAAAAGCTTCGAAACCTCTGCACGACTTGGAGCAAAACAACTCTGGTCAAGCAAGCATCGAAAGTATTCAGGGATTGGGTCCTGAAGATACCCTGATAATCATGATACTCCCAAGACGATTTAGCCAAGCAACATCTCCCGAGCTTGCTCAACAGAAACTTTTGGCTCCCACTTTGGCTGTGGTGGTCTGTCCTGGCTTTGGATCTGCTGTTGCATTGTACTCTACATTGCATATTGCGTGTTGCACACGAGCTAATCTCCTGAGCCCATCTGTGTATTGTCACTAGACTAGGACAGCGACTAGGATGCGTAAAGATAAAACACAGTAGCGGAAAAGGACTCTGCCAATGAGAAAAAAGAGCCCGTCGTGAGCACCCTCACATGCTGCTGTGCCAATATTTAAATATCTCCTCTTCCTCCCGACTTGCAGACTCTTTCTTTGCCGCAGCTTTGTCGTAGGCTCGCCTGCATACCAAGGCATAAGGGGTCTGAAAGGAACCAAGAAAGTCTCTGTCCTCTATTTACTGGACCATGCAACCAACAAGTGTCTTGGAATTTCATGCAGCAGCTTGTCAGGTTCGTTCCTGTATCAGGAACCCAACAAGAAACAGTCGGACGATCCACCAAACTATGTCGGGTGACCTCTTCTCCGGGTCCCTGAGAGTTTCATAGGCAGCAGCAATCGCCTCTGACTTCTGCCATGCAAAGGATCACTATCGACTATATTATTCTACTCGAACAGATTATGATTCTCATAGTTTGAGGGGTCGGTGTCAGAAAAGAAAAACAAGCCACCTGGAAGCGCTTCTGGGCAATTTCGCTGCCTGGTTGACCGGTGTTTGATTGAGATGCGAAATCTGAAACCTCCTCAACATTAAACTTTTACTAGTATATACTATATATTATATAAGGATACCAATCTACAGTACCATCCCATTGAGCACTTGCATCTGAAAATGTATGAGCGTTTGACAAAAGTACTGCTTTTAGCCAAAAAGACAGCTTCTTGCAAATGCCTCGGTTCTTGTCCGGATGATACTTGAGGGCGAGCTTTTTGTAGGATCGCCTACCGCTGCTCTGATGCAAACTGAACCAGCCACTGAATATAGCTCGGACTGAGGCGTCCACTTGATGGTCTCGTCATTTGCATCTTTATCTACTCGGAGGACCTAGTGCGAGATCAGGAAGCGCAAAAGTATTGGTCTTAATCTGATTCCATCTTCAGTACCTTGTAGGGATCGTTGGCATCTTCTCCATCCCAATCAAAAGTGTCTTCCTCCTCAAGCTCCTATGCCACGATTAGTTTAGTTGTCAAGCAGCCGCGTGCAAATGCGAATGTCTTGGTCCTCTTGCTCTTCTTGGACAGTCTCAGGTTGCTCCCTTGGTAGCCCAGCTTGTTAACACAGCCATGCTAGTCACCTTATGCAGTGTCTCAGCACATCACGGAATGGAGTCCTCACGCAAGGAAGAAGCCCGAGCAAACAGTCACGGGACAAACAATAGAAGACTCAATACTTGAGGTTCAAGCTATTCTGGAAGGCATTGCGCTGCCTAAGGCAAACGAGTATATATAATTATATATATATAAATGTCTCCACAAGCCACAACAAGGCCAACCTTGCTTGCACTCTCAACTGTGGACTACTGACAAACACAACACACATCTTAAGGCCCTAAGAGCGCTAGAGCACACAAGACTATTCTCAAAATCCAACCCCAACCCCTGTCTAGATCATTGTGTACTACAACTTATGCTAGCAACGACCCGAGATTGGATAGCCGCTTCAGCTCCATAAAATACTCAACATAGCTCAGCCACTCTCCAAGTTCGAAACTATTGCAATGTCTCCACTTTGGCGCCAGACTCAATCCACAAGCAATGCAATCAAGGTGCTTGATGAAGGAGCTTCTTGCCCTTCCCGCTCTTCCCCTTCTTCCCGCTGAACGTCTGGCCTGCGATTGTCATTGTCTGGGTGGAAACTTAAAACAACAGTTGTCAATTCCTAGTCCAACCTCGACGGGGACTCCGTTGAGCTTGGACCCATTGAGTCTCCTGATCCTCTTGAACCTCCTGCAACAAGCACCGCTGCACGAAGAATGGCTTAAGCTGACTACACCAAGCGTCCTGCATCTGTACCTTGTGGGTCCTGGCTGTACCTTCCGAAGACAAAATCAGAGCAGACCCGAAATGCTTCCGATCCAGGCCTTTCAGACCCAAATGAAGCTCCGGCATCCCCTGTAGTGCCTTGATCATGGAATTAAATGGAAATACGCTAAACAAAACATAAAGAAACCATAAAATAGAATAGGAATGACAAAGGAAACGGGGAAATAAAAGGCGTGCCATGGTGTGCTGAGTGATGTACCTGCACCTCCAGCGCCTCCAGTTAAGTTATCCGCGGGTCGGAAAAAATCTTCCTCTCCTCGCGATCATCGTCACGACCGCCCACAACATGTGTTCACCGAAAAGATGAGAGGAGTGCAACCATGGTTGTACGACGTTGCAATGGCTTACGAGTTGACTTTTGCCATCTGAAATGTGTTTGTGTCCAATTTGAGATGGCGCCGAGGCCATGTAAAGCAACGAAGGTGTCAGCACCTTCACCAGGACGCAGAATGCCAGGGCCTCAGGATGTCAAATGTGGACGAGCATGGAGCATGGATGAGCATGGATGAGCATGGATGAGCATGGAGCATTCTCTCGAGCTTGAACAGTTTGAACCACGCCATTCTCAGCTTCTTGATTTGCTTGAAAACTGAAAAGGGTTGGGAGCCGTGGAGTTGTGGAGCATCCTCCCAAACATTCTTCAATTCCCTGACCTCGTCGCACTGTGGCAAAATCCTCAAAGTCTTGTAGTCCAAATCCTTCTTGCCAGCTGCTTTGCTGCTGTGGCTCCTGCGAACATAGGAGCCAACATGTCTCTCTAGCACTTGAGACCGCTGAACTCATTCCATCGATCGACTTGACGTCCGACAGTCTCAATCCTGGCTTAAAGGTACTCGCAGACGTGCTTCCAGATCTTGCTGCGTCAAACGCTCCTGCACGATTGAACACGACTCTTCAGGACTTTCCATTGGAGAAGCGTCGCTAAGGCTACTAGTAACAAGGGCACCGCTACTAGTAACAAGAAGCTACTAGGGGTCCTGGCCTTACTACTAGGAGCAATGTTCGCTACTAGTAACAAGGGCATCGCTAGAAACAAGGAGGACTTCTCGGTCCGGGATTCCAACGGCGTCCACGAAGAAGGCTTTCAGCAGGTCCAAATCGTCAGAAGGCAGGCCTCAACTTTGGATTCAGTGAGGGAGAAGAATGCAAAAGAAAAGAAATGCAGAAACATGTCGTATCAATGTTTAAATGTGTTTCATTGAATATATATATATATATCTGTATGGGTTCCCCCATCAGAGTCGAAATGAAACTGGTGAAGCCAAGTCACGACCCTTCAAAGCCAGCTTTGCAGCTTTCGAAGAGGCAAGATCTGGAGAAACATCCCAAAATGCCTGGAGTCGACGCCACAAGGCGTCGACAAGCGCATGCGTGGGTTATCGACTCAGCCTCATGGGTCTTTAGCCTTTTTGGCTTCGCCCAGTCCTCCGGTGACAGGGGTAGCAATGCGGTAAAAAGAAAAATTATCAACTAGTCTTCGATTCCGATCATTTCTGATTTGAGATTGTCCTTGTCTGTGAGCACAATCAAGGCCTGCTTCGGGATGCATTGGCTTGAGTCAATTAGTAGCTCCATTGAAGGCAATGCCAATAGGTGATCGTGAGCCAGCCTCATGCTGAAATGCAAGCGCGACAGCCCCGTGTATGCGGCTCCGCTCCTGACCAAAAGAAAGGCGCTGTTGCCCACATGAGTCACATGAGCCTTAATTACCGATACCAGACCTAAAGCAAGAGGAGTGAGAGAATGCACTGGTATCCTCTCCGCTTTCGCTCACAGACCATCTCGCCAAATGCTTGTAGGAATGCACCTCGATGTTTTGATGTTCGCAGTTTTTGCGTGAAAGGAAGATTTTCAGGCTAGGGCCGCAATGGATTGAAGTTCTTCCAACAAAACAGATGCGCTAGGCGAGTCACGACCTGAGACGCAAACTGTGCCTCGTTCTTTGCTCCAAATTCGCTGCGTTCACTTCATCCCCAGAACTGTCCAGTCCAGGCACCATGCAAAATAATTGCCTCCTCATGTTGCTAATCATAGAAGGAAAGCCCGCACGCAGCGGAAAATGACTGGGCCACTGGAGGTAGACTACATGGATGTTCTGGCTGATTGCTAGTCAGAAATCCAGCTCTGTTTGCTGCTTAGGAAGGTACCAGCAAGGCGCCTATGTCGCTCTTCAATGGGCATGCGACTAGCAACATCCGCCTCCCACTCAACAAATCAGAACCTGTGCAACTAAACAGTTTGTAGACATGTTCTGACAAAAATGTATTGTCCTAGTCCTTTCACAGGATAAAATTGCGCTTGCAAACTGTCTGCTTCACAAGCTACAATGCCCAAGCTTGCCTGCTCCACGAGTGAGCGCAGGGCTGCCAAGAAGTCCGAGGCCTGTCTCAACCCGAAGCCTATACCGAGTTCCCCATATGAATACAACTGGGAGCCCTGCAGAAACGAAGTGGGATCAACACTTGACGTGTCTGTGTGCCAGTTTGTCAGTTGGATGATTGCAATGCATGCAGTTGGTAATGCCATTGCCTGTTATCCTGATGACTTGTTCTGCTCCAGGCTGAGTAACAATGAGTCCATGTCTTTTCTGCTGTGAGCATTCTGGTCGAAGCGATTGAGATAACTTTGTCTCTCGAGCCTATTCGGCTCTGAAGGTGCTGTTTGCTAAGAGCATGCACCGAATACGCTCCACACAGAGTGACCCCTTGCTGCCGTTTGTCAAGCAGGAAGGTCTTTCCAGAGCTCGCAGAACGTCAGACTTCGCGTAGTGCAGAGAGGTGGAGCCTCTTTCACACACAGCTCATTTGAAATCCATGAACTTGTACTTGAAGAAGACTTTCCCAGTGGACTGGAAGCCACGCATCAGCTCAACTTCACCTAAGGCAAAGGACAAACGACTTCAATTAATATAGGAACTCTTGCAAATCCCGGTGAATTCCCCGGGAATCATGTTGGAACACAATGCTTCCCACCTTCCTGGATACCAACGCCCATTTTCGGTAGGAACTCCAGGCTTCCCTCCTTGGCTCGAACTCGATAGCTTGCTAACACTAGTCAAGTAATGTGCAGCTTGGCATACTGACCAGTCATCAAGCACACTCAGGGTACACAGCGGCATCCAACCCGTCTAATCTTGACGAGACGTTGAGAGAAGCTGGCTGGGACAAACCCAGGTGCGAATCCGAATGGCGCTGCAAGCGGGCTGGTGGCACTGTGGGTCTTGTGGGGGAAGTCTTGGGGTTGCCAGTTGAAGGTGTATATATAAGTGTATAAGCCCTGAAGCCTCAAAACCCCCTCCCTCCCCAACCCTAAAGGTGAATTGATGCAACAAGGCACCCCTTTTCACACCAGAATCCCTGCCCGGCCGCTTCAGGGTGTCTGGAAAAGGAGCGAAGGGGAACTTGCAAAGGGTATGGTTTTCCCGCAGCTTCACGGCTTGGCTTCTTGCAGCTTCGCAGCTCCAGTTGTATTTTCTTGACCTTCCCTCCCCACGCAATGGAGAAAACGCTAGACGATCTAACAAACCATCGAGTGCTCACTGAGTCTCTCCCACCAAGGGGTGACCACGGAAGAGGGACTGGACCTTCCGTTTGTCGAAGACCTGGACCGTCAGAGTCCTCGTTAGAGGCATCACCATGTGTGAAGTCAAAAACCATCATTCCAGTCTTCTCGGCTGCTTCACGTGTCCTGTTGTCCTCTCGGAGATCCAGCAGGTGACGAGAAGAAAAGGTGCCGTTGGCATCATCCTCTCCTAATCGTCTCGCCTCGGCAAACAACAAAATCCAGCGGAGGAAAGCACAAACTAAAGACTGGCTAAAGCTGGACAACTCAACGGCAGCAAATGTGTCTGCATTAGTATTGAAGTATAGTATATTGAAGTGCTCCAAGACCATGTCAGTTGGAAAAGCCTAAGGTCGTGGCAGCTGTTCGCACTTTACTCTTGCCCAGCTGAAGCTGCACGAAGATGCTGCGCGGCTGCCTTTGGTGTTGGATGGTGCGCACTGCCCGGGTTTTGCCGTAAAGCCAAAACAGGAAAACTGGACCGTGTCAAAGCCTGTGCAAGCACATTCACCCAAGAAGCGTCATAAGTCATAAGCAGGGCTTCTTCAATATTCATTGAAGATCCCTCGCTGTAAAAGACCCGAAGGATTCTGAGGGAACCTCTTTGCAACTGCCACCCAAGGCACTTCTTGCGGATTCCAGCATTTTTTACCACAGAGGCAGCTAGATCACCAACACCTCAATGGCATGTCAATGTATGTCAAGCAGGATTTCTGGTTCTCTATGTGAGCGGTGAATTGTTTGGCTCTGACAAGCGGCGGTATTCTGAGGCTCCAAGTTCTGCAACCCTCACCACCTCCACCTAAAGAGCAAGAGAAACAATCTATTAGGATGATTTGCTTCTCTCCTCGGGAATCGTTTCACTGGGAATCGTTTCACCTGTAGCAACAAGAAGCTACTACAGTAGGAGGTCTTTGAAGCTTCTTAGTAGCATTCTTACTACTAGTATGATTGCGATCTTGTTCGCAACATTGCCCATATGGCCCATGTGTAGATCCCAGGCACAATCACACTCTCAGCAGCAGCTTCTCCTTCATCAGCCTTCTTCTTGTGCATCAAGTAGTTTATCCTCATGGCTTGGGATCCAAAGTATCAGCAGAATCGAAGCATATCTCAAAGCATTCCACATGTTGAACATCTTAATTAACATGCTAAACATATCTGAACATACTTAAACTGTTGCCACAGAAACGCTCTTCCAAGGCTCCGCCCGGCAGCATTATCAGCAATCCTTTGCACGACCAATTCATGTTAGAATAAAAGGGGGAAACAATGAGCTTTGAGTGGCTTCAACACAAGTATAAAGCTGGAAGCTGCAAGGAAGAGCTGCTTTGCCGCAGTATTGCATAGCAAGCTGTTGGCCGGGTGTTCAAGTCGACTGCAGGCAAGCCTCTCTGCCGCCCTCGATCGAACTCCGCAAAGCACCACGCCTATCATTCATCAGAAACGTCAAAGCGCTAAAACATGCTAAAACATTTCTTTGAGGAACAGTCTCGCATTCTGCAAGTGTAGCGGTCAACCACATTCACAACTTTCATCTTCGGTCGATTCTCTCGATCCCCAACTGGGCCTGCTGAATTCATCAGCCCACAGCCAAGCTCAGAAAGCTTTGATGAGAAGCTTTGCGCCTGTCCAACTCAACCAAATGGATCCAAATGGTATCTAGTATGCACCAAGATTTGAGGTGGCACACCCGCCTGACTGAGGTGTTCGTCTATTCGTTTATGGAAACATGAGCTTCAGAGCACGGGATCTTGTGCAAATATTCGCGAGTTCATTCATAAACAAGAATGTGCCAGGAATATCCAGGAATTACTGCTTCAGATTTTAAGCACCTTTAAATTTATGCAAAATGTATGGCCCATTGTCGCAGAACGCTGCCTCTTCCTCATGTTCTGGAGTCCCAGCTGATTCCTCTGAATCCTCTGCCAGTTCGGCACCAACCAGAAATTCGGAGCTGCGAGGACCATGAGAAGCGCGGTGTTCAGGGCTCTCCTTGCAGAAACTGTCAGCGTCTAGGATACAAATATAATCAAACATGCATTGTTGCATGACATTCAAAACATTAGGATGCTCCTAAACACAGGCAAAGGAGTGTGCCAAGACCGAGCAAAGGATCGGTGGCTTTACAACTTTACAATGTCCGTCAAGAAGGCACATTCATCCCTTTGTGATCTCATGTGATCTCTAACCGGCGAAAGTGTTCCCAGCTCACATCCAGTAAATCGTGTGATATTACGCTGTTGTTCAGTATACATGTCTACATCAAGGCAGCTTGGACTCACTGCTTGCAACTGGCTCTGCATGATCTTCACCTGTGCCAGGCAGTGAAAGGACGCCCCAATGGTCACTTCGTTCATTGCTAAGAAACCTCCTCAAGTCACTCAAAGAAAGGAAGCCATCACAATATTGTAGCTACTTTGTCAGGTATACTGATCCTGCCAACAAAGCGGAGCCCTGCCTGCCCGACCTGTGACATTCTCTGCAGGGCCTTTTATCGAAGGCTCGTCCTTCACCTCGGAGAAATCCGAGTCAAAGGGCTGATCAAGAACAAGGACGCTAGTAGTAACAAGTGCATCGCTTCTAGTAACAAGTGCCTTACTACTAGGAACAAGAAGAAAGTAATTAGAATTAAAAGTAATTAAGATGTCAAAGTGAAACGCAAAACGATTCTCGACAGTTTTTTAAGTCTTGGTGCAAAGTCCCCTGCAACCTCTGGCTTGTTATCCAAGCCTGAGCAAAAAACAATGTTGTTGAACTACCAGTAACCAATCTCAATACAGTGGAGCGGTTGAGAGTCTGCCTCTCTGTGGATGCCAGTGGCACTGGGACAACGCCAAGACCGCCAAACATGCATCCAAAGTGTTATTCTTGGAATTCGGAGTCTCATCTGGTGGTAAAGCAAAAGCAAGGCCTTCATCGCAGGGCTCTCCAGCAAATCGAGATGCCATGGCCTTGAATGTTCAAACGAGTTCAATGTTGGGTGCAGCTTGCAGGTCTGTTGGTGTATGTATAAAGGAATGGCACATTGGACATGTTCCAGGTTGCGCCCAGTCTTTAGTGCGCAGTTGCAGTTGTCCTCATTCGTGCGATTCGCAAAAACATGCAATCTGTCGGGATACCTTGGTCTGCTCTTCTTGAATCTTCTGGAGCGTCCTTTCATAACCTTGGCCCATGCAGAACTGCACCCTCTCCCTGGGCACTGCGACAAATGACTGGGATTGTTCCATCTGTCTGTTCTGTAGATATGTTGTTGGCATGTGTTATCCTTCTTACATTTTTGGGGCTAATCCGTTTGGGTTCTGTTAGATCAGGTTTCCAAAAAAAAAACTAAGCTTTCTTGCATCCCAGCTTTCCTGGTAGCCTCGTACCTCCTGCCTCTACTATTTAAAAAGAAAAAAGGTCGTTCCGCTCCAAGTCACCGAGGTCTTTAAGTACATCCCGTATGGACTCACAGGCCATAAGGCCTCGGCACAGATGATCTGCCCATGGGCAGCTGGGTCCACAGGGATTCTGGAAATGTCTGGCTTTTTGCTCCAAATCATTTCAGCTTGTCACGCTAATGCATGCAAAGCAGCACTGTGATATGCGCTGGGCCCCAGTTGTCAGCTTCACAAGCTGCAACTGTTCAAGAACTGCCTGAGGCATGCTCTACAACTCCAAGGTTCAGGAAACGCCTGGCTAGGTATTTCAAAAAAGGTGCATCAATCATTTCATACCATCAGAAGATATAAAACTTTCTGGGACTTTGTCCCAATATCAAAGCTCCAAGGCTCTGTCACGCGGCAAACACGCGCAAGGTCCCCTCCGAAGATCTCTTGCAGTGATGCTCGGTCTGTCGATTCCCATAGAATTGCCTTTCAGCGAGTTTGCGGAGGGTTTGGACAATCAGAACTGCAAAGGGTGTTGAATATATAGTGCGTGTGGAAGAAAGAGATGTGCCCATGTTCAGTTGCCCATGTAGAATCAAGCAAATCCCTCTTCTCAAGGCCCTTGCTTATTCCAGTGCTAGGACACTTCTACAAGCTTCTCTTGCAAGCATGTTTTTGTTGAAGCCATCACCAAGCTGCAATCATGAACTTTCTGGCGAGCTCAACCTGTGAAAGTCGAAACTTGGTCAAACATCTCCAACTTTGCTGATTCAAAAGCAAAAAATGCCCACAGCTTCAGATACAGTGATAGATAGGTTGCACCTGAGTAAGGATCTCGATTTCTGCCTGCCAAACGGGCAAGACGACCTCCTTCAAACCCCAGATTGATTTCGCGTGAGCAGCGCATAAGAGTCTTGGAAGTGGGCGCATCAAAACCCGAGACTGATGGTTTCCAGCACATCGAAACCTGTTTCCACGTCCGACACTGCGACCTTCGCACGCTGTACGGTGCCAGATGCGTGGACAAGGCCTGAAGTGAAGCTGCTCTCAAAAGCCGAAGAAAAAGGTCCCTCCCGACTCTACTGATATTGTTGCCACGCAATCCAATACCCAAAGTAAGAATATCCAGAAACATAATTGGATCGGTTTTTTGTCCATGAACCTAGTCTTCATACCTGTGCCCGCATACACAATGAACAGCATGAACGTGCATGCCTGTGTTTGCTTAGATATATATATAGTTTAAGTTTAGGCAATGAATGGCAATGAGAGAACTCTTTCAGTCTTGCATCACAATAGAGTTCTTTATCTCCACATTCAGAAAGAGTTTCTTCGAATAGCATCACCTCCAGTCTTCTAGGTGCGCGGCTGTCAACGGCTGCATGCATTTTGAGGACCACATTATCAAAGTTTTCCGGGGTAAGCTCCGCTGCCATAGCACTTGCTACACGAAGTCTGGTTGCTTTCAGTCTCACATTGTGAACATGCATTGCTCAGGGCTTTCTGTTGGTGACACCACTGGAGACTGCAAACTCATGAAATGCATTTGTGGGTGTTTTCGTAGTCACAATTGTGGCATGTACACTGTACATTTAGAAATGCACTGCTCGTCAATAATGATAATATCCAAGCCAGTGACCCATAGTTTTTCAAACCAGAAAATCACGACACCGTGTTGCAGTTGCAATCTTTGTTCTGGCCCTACTGCTTTGAGTCGTACATGTGGCTGCTTAGATGATCTTAGATGTCGAAACAAAGCTCCTCTTCTCCGATCTCTCTGCAAGCAATAACTGCGGTTTATCTCAAGACTAATCAGTCGCAAGATTGTATATACAATGAAATGGCACTGCTGCAGCAGTTATATAAAGCTCGCAAATCGAGCCTGCAAAGAGCTTAGGTCTTGCTTCACTCCGACGTGTGGCCCCAGCAACCAAGATCTGCAGTTGTTCCCAAACCGACCTAAACTCAAGAAGAGCGATGCAAACATTATAGAAAGTCCTCTTTCACACCCTTTGTGGCAATGTCCGTGTCAATGTTCGTTAAGCAAAGGGTATGCTCATACTCACACAGTTCCAAAAGTCCTGCACCGAGGGTCCATAGTCAGGTTGCAACACTTGGTAGCCGCAGAGCCACCGTAGGCAGCTACGGCCGCTGTCTGTCCAAAGACAGCGACTTGCAGCTTCAAAGCTGCTAGGAGGGACAAAGACCTGCCCAAAGGCCAATGCCACAATTTGTTCAATACATACATGGATATGATTGGATATCAAATTGGAAGTGTTCACGCTGCACATCTAATTAAATATATATATCAATCTTCTTGCCGAAATGCTGACTCCCGAGAGTTCATTGATGAAAATAACGAAAGGTTGTAAGCGGAACACGCAGGTTTTCCCTGGTGTCGGGGGAAACAAAAAATTGTCCAATCTTATCTTGCACCTGGAATTGCCCTGGATCTTCTTGAGCTCCCCAAAGGTTCATGGAGGACTGCTGTTCCTGCCAAATGATTGCGCATGCAACCCAGACTCATCAACTTGTCAAGTTCGGAATTAGTTTAGGATTTGCTTAAAGATCTTTGTGATTTTGTTCGTGAAGACTTCCAGGGAAAATGACAGCAAGTTGGAAGGCAACGGAAGCAAAATGGGGGAGAAAGGCTGCTGTGGCGCACTCTTGTAGGACACTCCTGCAAGACACTCTTGTAGGGCACTCTTGTAGGGCACACACTCTTGTGGGACACTTTCGTAGGGCGCTCTTGTGGCACAGTTTTGTGGGACACTCCTGCTTCCTCCAAAATCCATATCGCATGCGTCAAGTCTCCAAACCGAGCGTTTCATACGAGACTTCTTCAAAAGCACACGTGTCAAGTCTCCAAAAGAGGCGTTTCGCGCGAGACTCCCTCCAAAAGTGAAGCGGGAAGTCTCTTGCGTCAAGCAGCCTTGCCAAGCAGCTTCGCAATTTCCAGCCCCTCAACAACCACAGCCTTTGACACGCCAATCAATGGCACAGCGCCAATCACAACCAACCGTCGCAACCTCACGATCCCCTGCGCCTGCCACGAGACTTCAACACCTCTCCAACACGCACAGCTTGTCACGAAACGTTACGGAGTAACTTCGACAATTTCGGAGACGAAAACACATGCTTGACACAACAACCTAAAAAGCAAATCCCAATGACATCCAACACCTCCAAAACGCCACCTGTCAACACCAATCCCAGTGACACAGCGAAGGAACCTGAGGATCTCACAAAGCGCTGCGCTCCACACTTCCACGTGTTTTATACGTTTCTACACTATTTCACGCGAATCTGACATTTCATGCTTCCATCCAAAACCTCCTCCAAAAGCTTTCCCTGATGGCAAGGCCTTCTCGATCAGATTCCAACTTTGCGGAGTTGCGGACGGTTGCAACCGGTTGCGTGGTTGCGAGCATGACAGCAACGTCACGCAAACAACGCTGCGCCCTCAAATTCCCAAAGCCAACAGCTAGGCGAGGGCGGTTGCAACATCGCAAAGTCACCATCAAGTGTTGTGGTTTTGCCAGGTGGCGCTGCTTTGAAACCTGTAGAACCTTTACGATGCGCCACGCTACGTTTGCATCACAATGCGGCAATATGTCACGCGTCTACATAATACACGCAAGCAGGACAACGTCGCAACAATCCTGCCCAGCCCGAAGCTCTTACTATGGCTGAAGGCCCCTAAGCTTCGCTCTTGGTGAAAAGCATCAAAAACAAGAAGGAAAAGCATCCGATATCCAAAGCTTGTATCTCCACAGTAGAAAAACAAAGATAGCAAACAAAACAAAGAACAACCAACGAAACAAGAACACACTGAACAAGAAGACGCCAAATTTCGCGCAAAAAAGAACGCTTCACTGCGAGTGGTTCCCACCCTGAGAGGCGACTTGGAATAAGGCAAGGAACACGTACTGACAGACTATCCTGACAAACACTGCCTGACACGTGCATTGACAGTGTGTTCTGACACTTGTTCTGGCATCAAGCCTGGTGTTCTGACATCCTTGTTGGCATGTGTTGTGACAATTATTCTGCCACCAAGTCTGACACAGCTTCTGACGTATGATACCACGCGATTTAGCATTCTATACGACACCTTGCACCCACATTAAAAATTGCATATCTTCTGACATCCTTCTTCCTGCCATACTAGCTGGCTTGTACTCTGACGTCCTTTCTGCCAAGCTGCCTGGCATACAGCAATATCTTCTGCGCTCATCATTCTGTCTGGCAAATATTCTTCCATTCTATCTAGCGTATCTTCTGACATTCTAGCTGGCAAATCCGCTGACACCCATTCGCCATCTTGCGACATCCTCTCTGCTATATCTTCTGACAACCTTTCCAGCATTCTATCTGCGATACCTTCCGGCATTCTATCTTGCGCGGCATTCTATCTAATTCCTCTCTTCCTGCATTTTCTCTGGCCTATCTTCTGCCAATCTACCTGGCATATCCCATTGGCATATCTTCTGGCCTCCTTTCTGTCATATCCTCTGGCATTCTGACACTGCCTTCCGGCATTCTAAGTTGCATTTCTTCTGACATCCTTTAGCATGTCTCTTTGCATTTCTGTCTGCCATATCTTCCGGCATTCTATCTGGCATTCTCCTGTCTGGCATTTCTTTTTTTCTGGCACATCTTCTGGCATTCTAGCTGGCATCTCTTGGCATTCTGAATTCTATCTCCCCATACATCTCAAGCCTTCTGACATTCTTTATGGCATACTAGCTGGCATATCTTCTAGCTTTCTATCTGGCCTATCTTCTGCCCTTATTTCTGGCAAACCTTCTGACATTCTTTATGGCATATCTTCTGGCATTCTAACTGGCATATCTCTTAGCATTTCTATCTGACATATCTTCTCACCGTGCATGCCCAGACTGAGCTGGCCCTCTCTATGGTGTACTGACACTCGCTGTGTCATGACGACATGGCAGGAGGAGGACAGGGTCGGAGACAATGGTGGAGAGGATGGCGGAGAGGATGAAGTAACACCTTTGCTAAACTAAAAAAACCCTCACCTGGCAGGTGGAGAACAAATGAGAACACAACAAGCTCATTGAATTATAACCAACAAGCCACCAAAGACCAAAAAGCCACCAAGACGAACAAAAGGTATACAAATGACAATGTCAAAAGAAAAACTCTACCAATAAGGTCAACGACATAGTCTTAGTCTTTATATAAACAACAAAATGTTTAAGAAAACTATATATATATATAAACGTATCATAAAAAAAAAACATCTCAACATGTTTATAGCGTGAAGTCTCCCTTCTGCATTGTCACTCGGCTTCTTGACCCCAGATTCGCGACACAAGCTGTGTGACTTTGGCAGTGATCTTAGCAGCTTTCATGTGGAGTCTATCTGAAAAGATTTCTGGCCTTCGGCAAGGAATGTAAAGCCGAGTAGAGGTCAGCAAAAACGCTGATATCGTGGCAGGATCTCATCTTTAGAACGTGCAGACACTTTCGCAATCCAGGGCCATTGAGCTCAGTAGCCACTTGAAGGCGTTGGAGGCAGCCCATTGCTTGACTATCTTCTTGCAGGTCCATGTATGGCCTGGCTTCAAGGCTGAAAGGGTAGGAAAAGAATTCCCACGTCTCAAAACCGCTTGAAAGCCACACAAAACAAAGAACTTTTGGTGAGCACCCTTGCAAGCATTTTGGCAAAGGCACAGAAAATGGCCACCAAAACGCAAGTAGTTGCTTCGCAGAAAAAGCTCGGAGACGTCTACTCTTTCGGGTGTTCGTAACTGTCGGAGCCAGGTGATCTCTACACGGTCAGCATTCTTCAGGCGGCGCTCCACATAGGAAAGGGCTTTCACCGAGTCACAAACAAATCCCCACCAGTCACAACTGGAGAGTCGCCATCCAAGGTCAATGGTCCTCAAGTGCTTCAAAAAGGAACAAATTACTTCCTTACCTTGGAGTGCCGTGCATATATATATATACATACTACGTATACGTATTGATATTATTGTGATATGTTTGGTTCTGTAATATTGTGATATTCTTGGTTCTGATGTCAAATCCAAAGAAAACATGCAACGCCACAAGGGAAAATGAGAGAACTCGGTTCAACCAAGAGTCAGGACTGTCCCAGCAACTTTCCGGTGGGATGTGCATGGTGATAAAGGCTTCATGCCCAACTCATCCAGAAAAGCTTCCCAGTTCAGTTTGTCTCTGACGGTTGCACCTTTGCTTTGTCGCACAGATTCCTTCTCATCGTCCCGCAGCCATGAGGGTGGTGGATCAGCGAAAATGCCAATGTCACGAACCTCGGCCTGCGGCAAAGACAGGGCATGCAATAAAGACAATCGGCAAGGAGCCAACACTCAAGGGGAGTGATTATAGTTTTGCACAGCTTGGCTATCTATCATCATGCCTGTGCCAGGCTAATAACCCCAAGCAAACCATCCAGCCTCGACACCATGGATGAATCCCATGATGGCCACAAGCACATCTTGTTGCAACTCACTGCCGGCAGCTTCACCCAAATATGTGGGACAAGTGAGACGTGAGCATGTTCCAAAGCCACTTCGAATGCTCGAGCATGGTATTAGAAGTTCACTCAGAGCTGACCAGGGCAACACCTGAGGGACCGCTCGCTGGATCCTGGAGATCCTGTGATCTCAGGATCGCAACACAAAACACATTGCGATGCTTTGAAGATGAAAAAAACAACAACGTTCAATTGAATCTCCTTGTGGTGGTCTACTTTTGCATGATTTGGTGTCGTGCAGGGATAAAGGACGGTCTTCAATTGCCTCCCCCTCTCTCTCTCCCGCTCTGCCTCTTCCTTGCTCGGCACCCCAGATGCCCCGTTCAAGAAGTGCTGTCGCAAACACGCTAGGCTTGCCCAAACAGCGCACCTGAATTCCAAACAACACATGACTTGACTAAGCTGGTTTAACCTGCCACAGGGAGTGGCATGTAATGATATGTGTGAAGGCACTCCCACCTCAACCTCTCAAGGGGCTCCACTCCTGCCAAGAGGGCAACCGGGTCAACTCTCTCAAACCCCACCAGCATGGGGGCTTGAGCCTTGTCCAGTATTCTATTGCTGTCGTCAACCAGTTGCCAACTAGATCTGCTTTGCAATTCAACTGTTCAGTCTAACCAATTCTGTGGCAGTCCTGTATCATCCAGCCTGCCAGATTGAAACTCAAATCCAATGTACCAGTACTAATTAAAGCAGAGACGAAAAAAGCAGAGCTTTCTGCAGGCTTTGGAGCCTGGCGTGTGTCGTACTGCTGCTTCCGCCGACTTGAAAGTTTGCCGTTTCCTTGGCCAATTGAGCACGGTTTAGACGGTTCATATTTAGGACTTCAACGAGCAACATACCCCCACTTGGTCTCCACCAAGCTTCAGCCAACCCCAGGTGCCACTCAACGCCTGCAATAGATTGTTTTTTTTCTGATAAAGAAACTGTATGGTATGGTCCAGATTCTACTTGTTTGATCTTGCATATATAATTCTGTATTTGACGTTATGAAAGAGTCTGAGAACTGCACACAGTGGGACTATATCCTGGCGTGTTGGCCTTGGCAAAAAACAGCAAGATATAGACTCCGATGACCTTCAGCTTATCTCAGCTTTAACCGAGAAAACACCAGTGCACCTTCGTTACACTTTTTCCTCTGGAAGATCGTGCGTGTGTAGAACACGCATGTGTTCACAGCAGTCAGAAGTCAAAGTTCTGAATGGCCTTGACGGCTTCCATGTGAGGTCCAGAATCCCAATGGCCTGCTTGGGCGAACTCCAAAGCATTGAGGCCACTGACTTTATCACGAAGAAGCGGGTCTGCTTTGCCTGTGCCAAGAAAGTGAAAACTGCCGCTGGCAAGCTTAGCAAAACCCTTTTTTGTCGTCAATTGCTCAAGTTGTTAAACCCATTGCATGGCATAAGTGTTTGACTTTTCTGCCCCGCCTTCAATCAGCACCTTGACGATCTCCGCATGTCCAAGCTTGGCGGCATGATGCAATGGTGTTAGGCCCTCATCATCATACCGATTGAGATCAATCGCCTTGGCCATCTTCGGATTTCCAAGGTAATCCTCAACGATGTCGAGGTGACCGTCTTGCAATCTCCAAAGAAACCGTTGCTGATCTGCTGGAACGCAGCCAAACTCTTTCTTCTGCTGTGTCTTGGTCAGTGGATACTGCCAGCCACGCTTTCTATCTGCCTCTTCCAGTGTACCATTCATGTCATCGTCACTGAATTCAGGCTCAAGATCTTTGTACTTTTGTTGTGCTTGTGAAACCTCGCGTTCGTAGCGCTGCCTGAAGGTCTCTTTCTTTCCCTTTTCCTCACTCACATCTAGAAGCAGTTGATGGCTGGGCGTGTGGAAGGCAAAGGTCAGGATAGGATCTTCCTCCCTCACCCCCTTGTAGTACACCACAGAATCGCCCACATAGTCTGCCATAGCAAGGACGCAGTGCCCTCTATACCATGCACAGCTTCGTCCGTCTGCGCTTGTGCGAGGGGCAACGATGTGAGTCCTATGTCCATGTGACGAAGAACATGTTGACCATGTCTTGATCTACGGTGAGTCACGCTCTTGGATCTGCATTTCATACATCTCTCCGAATCTAAGACCGTTGAGCCTGACATTTGGACACTTTCTTGTCACTGGAGTCTCAATGAAAGAGCATGCACAAAGCACATTATGTGATCAAATGTCATCAAGAAACAATGGCTGCAAAACTAAGGCACACGCCTCGAAACACCTCAAATCTGCACAGTCATGTCATGAATTGCAAAGCGTCCCGTGCTGTGCTCGCTGCTAGTCAGGTGAATATCTGCGTTGCGTTCCACTTCCATGGATAGATCGGCCAAAAGCAGCCACAGCTCGGGTCGGAAAAGAATGGCAGACTTGCGCAGACTTTAAATTTCACGGGAGTCGCGTCTTTTTAGCACAAGTCGCTCTATACAGTAACCATCAGTAACCGATCTAGCTGTTACTACACTGTTACTACACACTGCCTACACCCAACATGAGGTGTTCTTTGAGAAGCCACGAGAGAGCGGGGCTCGGTGCAAGGAGTAGGAATCTAATAGCAAAAGGAAATTGTATGATAGGAATGGCCTCCAACCTACTGGCGATGGCCTCCGACCTACTAGCGATGGCCCCCAATTGCCCGGCTAAGCCAAGGCACCAAGTTGCCGCAGGAATCGTAACCCAGCAGCTTCTAAGCCACCATGCACTTTGTCGCAGAGCACCCGCATCGCACCAGCTGCCTAGTGGTCGTGTGTCTAAAGCAAGTAGAAAACAGTGATACAAAGTAGTTTTCTTGAACTTTCCCGGATCCCTCTGCTGGTTGAGAAACTTATGCTGTTCAACCAATTTCTTTGGAATTCCTTACATGAGCTTACATGGAAGTAATTATATAATCCAGTCTATTATGTCTATGATAATTTTGAGCTATGAGCAATGATAAACGGTTGAGCCCCGTTTTGGCAATCTTCATACTCCGTGCATTGTTCATACTCCCGAACTTCAGCTTTGCAGCCTCGAGCTTCTTCTGCCAGCACTGAGGCACATCGGTCGCATAGCAAGAGAAAGTGGGCCTGAGACAAGTCAAGCAGCCAGGTGCTTTGCCACTGCCACTTGAATATGTGACGGGACGAAAGGATCCTCCGCATACATTTCACTCAAAGGAAGATCCCTTTGAGACAAAAGCCCATCAGCAACTCGAAGGGCATGTCCTGCCGAGAAACAGATTGATGCTTACAAATCTATGCTATAATTGCAGGGTCACTCCGATGAGGTCACTCCAAAGTCTGGCCAGGGCGAGCTTCTTTGAAGAACCCGTCAGCGAGCTTCTTAGATTGGGAAACTTAATCGACTCTACTCATCTTGTGCTCGACTCTCGTCCAAAAGCATCTCCTGTTGCATCCGGGAGCAAAGGCACACCCTTCAGCCGTGCCAAGACCTGTCCAAAGGCACGTTATCGTGTTCCTGTCTTTCTGGCCGTTATCAATGTCGTACTGAAAGACTGCTAGCCACCAGCAAAGAGCGGACCTCCGGCTTGTCACCCAATGTTGTGCCCAGCCTGAGTAAGGTTTGAACAAATATGTAAAACAAGCAGGACCAGATTGATATATTGAGTACCAGCAAAGCTGCTTGCTTGGCACACGTCTGCTCGCAAATGCAGGGATCTTGCAAATGTAGTCACATTCCATGCATGAGACATGAGAGATGTACGCTAGGATATGCACAGTGAAAGAAGCCTCTTGAAAAAGCCATAATCCTGTGATGTGAGCAGAGAAGCAGTGGCCACCAAGTGCATGCTCGCATGGTACTACACTGCCCTTTGCGGAGTCCTGCTTCTCAGCGGCATCTTGGGCTAGACTCCTGTCGCTGTTCGAGGAGCTTCAAATATTTTGGAATCTGTATCTGCAATCTGCACGTGCCCTGCTTGCTGCCAGCCTTTTGTTGTGGGTATTGTCTTGGTCATCGCCAGTGTCCACCTAACCAAAATGCGTGCCGTGTGTCGGTGTTTCAACCATGGCTATATTTACAAAAAAATAACTACCTTAGGTCTGTCTTGGCGTGTGACTGCTGTGTCACATGCTTCATAGACCAAGTCAAGTACCTGCAGCACCTGAAGCCAGTGGTCAATACAAAGCTCCTTCACGATTTTCAGGTGGATTGAGTACCGGACATGCAGGTGTCTGAATTCATTACAAGAAGCCCAAGAACCATTGAACACAAGGAATGCTGCCTTCTTCCGCCCTCTCCTGCAAACCCAGACCCTGGGTTTGTGCGCGATGACGCAATGCCTCAGTATCTCAAGAAGACAATATTCATAAATATCCTAAGCTCTCAGAAACGTTGCGCCATGAGAAACATGGCTTGCAGCAGCGCTTGTGCCACTTGTGCCACTTGTCACTCTGTCACTTCTCTGAGCCAGCGGCCCATGGGCGCTGAACCAAGCAACGCTGGCAATGCTCCTAATTAGGGAGTGTGTGGAGGATGTTCTTGTCAGAAACTGGTGATGACTAGTGCAACGTCAGAGAATAATGACGACTTTGATGGGTCGCGATGCTTCGATTTCATTTGTCTCAGGAGACGACCCAAAGCACTTGCGGTGGCAAGTGCTGCATAGCCTCTGCTAGCTTTGGCTCCTCACATTGCTGCATTCTGTTTTGTGTGTTTTTGGTGCTGCATGATCAAAAAACAAAAATATATATATATATATAAAGATTCGTTCAGAACACCATTGGACATGTAAGCCAGAGAGGGAGGGAGAGAGAGAGAGAGAGCTCTTGTGAATCCTCTGGTGGAAGCAAGCAGTCACCTGCCGTGTCTCAAATTGTGCCAAGGCCAAGTTGGCATCTTTTAGCTTCGCTGTTTTCAATGCAAATGAAGCCGGTGGCTGAAAAGCAGTGGTAACCACCAGCAACCACACTCTGGAACAGCGCCTGGGCGTGCAAGCTGTCCATCTGGCTCAGTTGGAATGCATTCCACCTTGACACAAGCCAGAATGTGCACAGTCGGCCAAGCAACTCCAACATGTCGGTCAGACAGTGATCAACCCAAAGATCAGATATGTGACCTGAGGCAGCTGCGTCCTTCAACACCTAGCATCAAACAAAGCAGAACTTGCAACATTTTGCCACGAGGGCGTGTGCACCTCAAGCAGTTGTCCTCGAACCAGCAGCCATGTGGCCTCCGGTGTTTCTTGACCCAATAAGTCCTGCAAACAAAGTACAGTCTGGCAATACGTCATGAAACAACAGGACATAGCCACAGGAGTAAAAGTAAACGCAACCTGCTTTTTTTGGCAGATCACCGATCGCCTTGCTGTATCAACCTTTTCCACCTACCCTGCCTTACGAAATACTTACCTGCCTTATGAAACTGCCTTTACAAAAAGTTGTTGTGTGTCTGTGTGTGATCTGCAAGTCACAAGCTAAAGAAGTGAGGAAAGAAGTTCTTTGTAGTCACCAGTAAGGCCGTTCCCAACTGTCCAGCGCACGGCTTCGCAGCCCCGGCCTGATCTGGAAAGTGCCCACAAAATTATCGCAAAGGAAGGCTCCCGTGACTTGTGACAGCCCAACTGAATAAACCAGGAACAGACTGCATGGATTTGAGTGGCGGGGTCATGAGCATCCAGTTGATGTTGAGCATGTCACATCTTTCAAGACAAGAAGGAAGAGCCTCTCAAACACTGAGCCAGCGACAGGTTTTGTAGTGCTGCTTTGAAGGCAACAGGGACTGATGCACAAAGACTCCGATTTCGAGTGGACCTGGAACCGCACAAGCAAAGGAATAGTCCGTTGCTTCAAGAATAATTTGCAGCCGTTTCACAGCGTTCCAAGCTTTAAGCACATGGCTTGCCGTGCAGGTTTCCCCTGTCCGCTGTTAGGTCAAAGGGCCCTTGAGGCAAATTGATTGAAAGTGATCTTAGAAGCTGTTGTATGGCTGTGGGGTATCGATCAACATGTTCTTGAGTTTGCGGAGCCTTGGATAGCAAAGCGAAAGCCAACCACTTTCACGGGCAGGAATGTGTAAAGTGGTTGCAGTGGAGCCTGACCAGGATATTCTGAAAGCTGCAAATTCAGAAGTCTCAAGCTCGATCACGCACGTGCAATGCTGTACTCACTCACTCTGCAATACATTAGACGCCATGCGGTACATTGACATGAGAAGCAAACGAGGTCAGCACTACACTTGGCACTAAAGGACAGTGACATTGGAAACCAGTATATTATATACAATAATGCAAATTGCAGCTTGGTGAAGGAAACGAAGGCTATTTTATGCTACCATGGTAGCTAAGAGTCCGGATCAGCAAAAAGACTTTGATGAGAAGAGAGTCTGGCTCAGACAAGGGAGAGGGTCGGTTGGATTGTGAGCTTTGCCGAGAAGGAGCATTGCTTTTCGAAGATTGCACGCGGCTTGCCGAATTCCAAGGAGTTTGATATGTTTTGCCCCGGCGGGGTAGGCCGCTAGAAGAGGTAAGCTAGTTAGTAAGATGCTCCTAGGTAGGATGCAGGATAGCTCACGCTTGCTATGTATGTGGTTCCTAGATTGTTTGGGAAACTTGGCAAGTCTTTGTTATTAGACTAAAAGTAAGTATATAAATTAAAACAATTCGTAAGATTAAGTATAAAAATATAGTCTAGTTTAACAATTCTGCAAGATGGCTTCATTATGAACAAGTATGACTCAGTGATAACTCAAGGAAGAGAGGCTTCAGCAGGGGCTTTATGAGGGTCTCATGAGCGTAGTCTCCTCCCCAATCACTGACCTTTACAACTGAAAGCCTTGAACAAAGAACATGCATTTAGCGGGCATCTGCGGGCACTTTGCTTACCACGAAACGTTTCAGGGAATCCCTGGAAGGTGAGGTGCGCGTTCAAGTCTGCGTGGAATTGGTCAATGTTGGAAATGTGCCAAAAGAAAACTTGCACTGGCAGCACCGCCTTTTGAAAAGACCATAAACGGACAATTTGTGATGTAGAGATGAAGAGTGCAGAATGCAAGCTGGGAGCAAGTATGTTCCTGCCTTTAGTAATTCATCATCTTCCTCGCTTCTTTGAGTTGTATCCTCAGTTCGGGGAAGTGCCTAAGACGCACTACAATGATATCTTGATCTTTGAATTGTGGAACGGGATGTGTATCTTACAGTCTTACAGTAAATTGAAAGATGGAGCGGCGCGGCCGCTGGTTTTTGATCGTCTCATCCGGACCGAGCCGCCAGGGCAAACGCCACAGGAAAGGCCAGCGTCAACGTGGCTGTCTGGCGGCGAAATAAATTGCTATGTTCCTTCTCTCCATGCTCATCCCTTGTTCTGCGTTGAAAGGAGATTTAGTTGATTTTAATTGTACAGTAAGTTAAAAGTTAAAACATGTTAAAACCAAGAAACTACAGGATGCTACAGGTGCCTGGAAACTCTCTCAGTGGAACTGCCATGCAAAGTTCATCAGAGAGTCGTGGAGAGTCTCTGATACCTATCTCTGCCTTTGCCTCCATGGAAAAAGCAAGAACTGCCTCTCCCTGCAAAGAAACTTCATGGTGGTGAAGTACCTTGGAAGAAAAGTTTATTCGTCGCTTCATATACATATGCTTTCGCACATGCAACAGTGCCTAGGAATCCCTAGGATCTGGACGTACTCTGGCATCTGGGTTCGGCTCTTCTCACCTGCCTGCCCGAGGAGCAAGTAGCCAGCTGAGAATTCTCTTACGATCAAGAGCTCCAGCCTCGGTAAACTCTGTCATCTTGACCTCGGAGAGCGCATCCTTCACTGAACAAATGAAAAAAGAAACCTACTAAATGACCTCCACCCTATGGGCGTTGGCCTCCAACAACACAGTACATACTATCAAAGTCTCCTTTGTTCTTGGAGGTCTAAGATTTGGGCGGCTACCAAATTGGAGGCTCCGGGAAAGTAAAGCTTTGCCATGTCGGCCTCGAGCATGGTTTAAAACTCAATCGTTGGTACAAGGAAAGCCCAATCTAGGTTGCATGCCGCAGATCTTTGCAGTAGCATTGAGCCTGCAGGAAGACCCACTTGATGGCACTTGTGTCGGAAACATCTTGCAAACCACGGTGTTCCCTCCCACATGCTCCTCTTAACTTCTCATCCCAAACTGTCCAAGCACCGCAATAAAGGAAAGAAATGGAAAGAACCACCTGGGCCTTCACTAGCTTCCTACTGTGCCATGCATTTTGGTCGCAGACCACCCTGTTTCCCGCTCAGTCCGAACCTTCTGCGAAAACAAGCCGGACCCGGCGCAGCCGCCGAAGGAATGCCAGACACAAATGTTGGGCCTTACAAATCAGCTCTAAGGATTCTAGCTCGATTACCTGAACTGCAGGTAATATGGATAGACAGATATCACTTCCATACCTGAACATGCGTGACATGTTGTGCCTATTTTTGGATTCAAATTCCCTTCATCATTTCGTCACTTGCTCCCAGTTGAAAGCTGTGTGTGTGTGTGTGTTGCAGCGCTGTGCAGTTTGGGTGTCCAACAGCGATGTGATGAAGCTCTGCATCAACGGCCAAAGCATCACCATTGGAGCGCAGGGGCAAAAACATCACCTTTGTACGTGCGAACGGTCTCCAACGGCAATTTACGATGATGGGCTTACTACTGCGCAAACCGCGCAGCTAGATGGCAGCGGATGCCTTGTGGAACCATATTTCTCACAATGATTCAGGCGCGAACAGTGTTGCCAGCTGCCTGCAGCAGTTGCTGAGAGCCGCTACGGTGGCTATGTGAGCCACAGATCTGCAAGTTGCTTGTCACTCTAGCTTGTAAGCGTCAAAACTGACACAATTGCCGGAGCAAAACAACATAAAACCAGCAAATACGAAGCCCAACCCATGATGATATCAATCTTCAAGTTTGGGGAGCAAGTAGCCTCTGTCAAGCATAGCCAAGCCACGTTGACACAAGAACATGCTCCAAAAATGGTTAAAGCCTCCTTAGAGTCTGGTAGTCACAGGTGTAGAAGGCTCCAAAGCCACGCCTTGGCCTCTTTGACTGCAGGTGGTAGCGATTCCACTTCCTCTGGCTTGCAGGAAAGGAGTGCATATGGTACCACATATCGGATGCTTAAAGGACGCGTTGTTCTGTTGTCTGTTGCGGCCTCATCAGACAGATTAGTTGGCGTTACCAAAGCCAACTTGCCTCCGCCAAACAACCCTTGCCATAAACTCTTGACTCTTTGCCTGTCTGACCTCTGTTTTAATTGAATGCTGGGACCTAAAGGCCCACGAGTGTCAAACTTGAAGGCAAAGGCATTTGACCTCACAATGGATAGTCCACGGTACATGGAGCTGCAAAGCAGCTGCAAAGCAGCTTCATGATGCTTGCGTTTCACTTCAAGATATTTCAAGCAAAATGAACAGATTTGAAGCCCTTGGACCAGCGCAAGACGTGCGGACAGTCGCTGATTCGGAAGACACTCTTCCAGCCAATACCCTGAGTTCCAGAAGTCCAAACAAGAAAGCAAGGTTCATTCTTCGAGGTTACCGGTTACCGGTTACCGGTTGCTGCTACACCCTTCTCAACACCCTTCTCTACTCTCTTACACCTGGTGGTGTTTCGACTCCACGCCTTGTGGCCAGTCTGCCCGGCACCCTTCATGCTGGCATTCACGTTGCAAATCGCCCTCACGTCCTTCACCAATCGGCTCTTCACGATTCACATTGATGTCTGAAGTTGTGAATCATGTGCCAAAGAACCTTAAATGCTATGGCCGAAATGCAGTAAAACATCCCAAGTTTGGTCAATCTTGGTGTCCTCCGAGGAGAGCCCCACCTCATTGTTGGAAGTCCAGACCTCAGCATGAGCAATGAGCTGTTAGCTTTAGGGATCCAGGCTGCCATCCAGTCTGTGGGTTCACAAAAAATATGAAGACTGGTGAGATTAAGCACTGGCTCACTCCAACATGGCCCAATGAGAAGCACGCATAGGCCCCATATGTTGGATCCACCTCCAAGGCCAATGTAAGCTCTGGAACATCATCGCTTTCGTACCTGGGGAGGTTTTTGGGAAGGCTAGATCACCTGAGCAGCACCAAATCAGGAATGAGATAGGCTGTTTTTGGCACGGGCAGGCTGATGGGTTGGGCACTTGTTGTCATCAGCATTCTGCATGAGCTCCCACAAACAGTGGCATTCATCTGCATACAGGTCCAATGCTAGCCTGCCAATGTGCCATTTACAATAGAAATTAAAGAATGGACCCAAAGAGAATTCATTGGTGTGGATCTCAGAATCCAGCCTTTCAACTGCTGCACACAAAGACCTGGCAACTAGGAGAAAGGAAGATCTTTATCAGGAAACTTGACCTCTTTGAGTGCCTGCGCATTGCCAACAGTCCTTGCTTCACATCTTCGGAGACTCCGTCATCCCAGCCGTCATTCACCAGCCTTTCGCAAAGATTTCTGGCAGTGACAAGAAATCTCTATGATATGCAGTGCAACCTTGCTGATATTGCTCCAAACGCCTGTCTGCTCGGATATCTTCAATAACTTGCTTTGCCTCCTCGAGAACACCTGCATCGGGAAGATTTCCGCCAAAACAATGAAGACTCGCAGACCGGAACTCGTGCAACTTGGTGGGGAAAACATGGAAAGTGGACGCAGGTAGAACAAATCCAAGACATGTTCCCAAGACCCTTCGTTCCGTGCTATACTATAGTAACAAGTGCTTTACTACTAGTGACGAAAAAACAACAGTTTTTTTGTCCCGCTCGCCTGTTTCTAGTAGTATATAATGCACTTGTTACTTGTCTTCATGTTTTTATCTCGCAGATTCCCCGAACGTTTCAGCTGAGTGACGTCCCTGAGGCGGTCCAGCCGCGACTTTCCTTTTCGGTTTCTCTTCTCTGTCTTCTTTTGGGTCATCAATGGCCTCCTGGTTCACAACTGATCACAAGGTCTACGGGTACATTGGTTCTTCGCCCCAAGGTTGACCTGTAGAATCACTTTTGCATTCCTTACTTTCTTCGTCTTTCTTCCGTTCTTATCTGTGTCTGGTCTGTCCTTTCTTTCCTCTGGATTCTCCTCAATCTTTTCCCGATCTTCATTCGTTGATGGCCTGCAAGCTGGACGGGTCACATAGCACTTGGGCCTTTAGAGGCAACGAAAAGGAGCGACAATGTGCCGAGGTGCGGTGGCTGTGGCAGCAGCCTCGGCTTTTCTTCTCTCTCTCTCGCTCTCTCTCTCTCTCTCTCCCGTTGATCAATGGTTGTGTACTCTTCTTCTTCTTCTTCTGAACTTTAGAGGGACTCCTTCATTGAAATGTCCAAAATATATCAAAACATTATTGGATCCAATGCTACCACAAGTATCCAGCACAAGTCGAACATGTTTATTTAGCTGTTGATGGTGATTCCCTTGTGCAAAAACATGCAAAAACTGCTGGCCAGGATGCTGCAAATTGCCAGCTCGTCTTGCAATTTCCGTCTCTAAACGTGCAATGCGGTCCTCAATTTGATTCAAGAATGGTCAGCCAAGTATTTGACTCAAGCATCAGAACGCGTTAAGTGAGGCCAGGAAAGGTCCTGTGGCCGTAACAGAAATGCCACTCATAATTGCTTGGCAAACAATGTATAACAGCACAGCTCCCTGGTCGCAGCTGGTAGCCATGTCCTCATACTCGCTAGCTTTCTTAGCACAGCGAGCCTGAATGCGTTCAGTACGGCGTGTTCGCAATTCCATGGATTAGTGACATTTAGGCAGTATAACTGATGCAAAATCTACCAGACGTCCACTGGAATACTCTACAAACAAAGGGCATCACGGTTGTCCTCGTTGTTCTCCCGGTAGTTTTGACATGTTTTGACGAGCCATTAAGGGTTTCAAGAACTCATCCCTCTCTCACAATCGGAGCCTCGAACTCTGCAAGTTTCAGTTCAGCTTCTTCTGCTTCCCACTCCAAGACCTTCTTCTCCATCTGCGCAAGACCGGGCGACCAAGTGCAGCTGAGCACTGAGCCGATCAGCCTGCCTGATCCGAGAACTCACGCAGGTGGATCGCTGAATTCATCATGTCTTCAAGGTCCTTGGCACGAGAATGAAGACAATGCAAACTCAAACAACTTGAGTCAGTTCATGAAAATCTCTGCATACTGCATGGATCTGCATGGTTGAACCAAAGGTTGAACAGCCAAAGGGTCGATTGGCATGCCATCTGCAAGCAACCTTTCTGTGAGGTATCTCTGGTCTTCACTGGCCTTGCGCAAACATCTATCAGGTATTGAATCCGATCGTTCGGTGTCAAATAGACATCATCGAACAGCACGCATCTGTATTCCGTAAAAGTGACGTTCTACATGTCCATAGCCTCCCATGCACCACCCATGACCACTTCCATCCACTGAAGCAAACGCTTCAGCTGGCTTGGAGCAGGCACTTGCTCCTGCAGAACGAGCTTGTCTTAACTCAGGTCTTTAAACCAATCCGCAGCTCACTCCGCAACCTTCATGAACATGCGGCTAAGGAATTCGGCAGCATGACGCATAGGTTCACTGCACCTGACATTCAAGGCATGATGGGAACACCAAAGACTGGCTCATGTAAGATTCAATAGTTTAAAACGAAAAAGACTTTGAAATTTGCCCGCACGTTATGCTCACCAACCTGACATAAATGAGCTGCCTCTACGGCGACACATGTATGGACTGGACCAGAAAAGCTCGACTGATGTGCTCTGGATGTCACCTGACTCTGAAATTTAGAGCCTGCTTGCTAGCATTGCAGAAACATGCACCCAACAGTCGAAGCCCAAAAGCCCATCGACGCGCGCAGTTCCAACAAGATGATTCAGAATCATTAGTCTTTCCGATTCACGTTGTTTGACCCCCAAACCACAAAGTGAAGCACCAAAGTGAAGAAAGTGATGAAAAATGACGAAAGGTCGAAAGGTTGGTGGCTTTGACATGTTTTGACATGCTACAGTATACAAATTCAGCATGTTCCGTCGAGCCTCAACGTCCACATAATCGAGCTGGGCGATTTCGAGAAACAAAAGCTGAGACTGTCCAGCAGGGCCATGAGCCTCGGACACAAAAGCTTGAGAAAGGGTTGGGAGTAAATCGGGTTCGTCAACTTTATGCTGTGCTCAGCTGAAATCAATTCACCTAGCACCCAAACTATGTCCACACACTCAAACGAACTGCTTTGGATCTGGAACTCAAAAATATTTGATCTCAGAACTCAAAAATACTCAAAGTGTCTTCACTGCAGGATCTGGGCTCGTGGCGTTGCTCTCGGCCCCTGAGGAGTCCAAAAGAATCAGGCGGGTAGGCCGTGAGGTGAGGAGGCTTGCAAGTGAGCTAAGTAAGGAAGTAAAAGTGAACTTAGAAGAAGTTCCTTTATACTAATTTTAGCCCGAAGGGGGGGGTTAGTCCGTAGCTACTAGCCACAATTGAAGAAGCGCTCGCACTAACTAAGCCGGTTCGCGAGCGTTGCTTTGCTAAGGAGTATACTTTCGCGACCCCGCAGGAAACATGGTAAAAAAAGAAAAAAATCGATTTTACCGTTTTTACCGCGGATATGGTAGAGAAAAAAGGGGCGCCCCCGGTAAAAACGGTGACAAAATATGTTTACCGTTTTTACCGCGGATATGGTAGAGAAAAAAGGGGTGCCCCCCCGGTAAAAACGGTAAAAAGAAACAAAATTTCGATGTTTACCGTTTTTGCCGCGGATATGGTAGAGAAAAAAGGGGCGCCCCCCCGGTAAAAACGGTAAAAACAAATAAAACGGTTTTTGCCGTTTTTACCACGGATATGGTAGAGAAAAAAGGGGCGCCCCCCCCGGTAAAAGGGGAAAAGAAAAAAAACATGTCGATGTTTACCGGTTTTACCGCGGATATGGTAGAGAAAAAAGGGCCGCCCCCCCCGGTAAAAACGGTGTTTAAAAAAGAAAATGCCGTTTTTACCGTGGATATGGTAGAGAAAAAAGGGGCGCCCCCCCGGTAAAAACGGTAAAAGAAAGAAAAAAATCGATTTTTACCGTTTTTACCGCGCGGATGCCTCGGATTGACCCCGTAACCCCGGCAACTACGCTAAACCAGCACAGCGCACAAATCTTCTGGAATTTCAGACTTGGAAAGTGCTGGGAACCACATCTTAGAACAAGAGGCAGCCAGGCAGCCTCTGATTCTGATGTCTTGGCCGGTGCTATCTTCACATTCTTATCATGTCTTATCTAAGGCTCTAAGGTGTCAACCCGCTGGTGATTGTGCTCCCCCAAGCCAAAGGCCTCAAGCTGAGGTCAGGTTGGTAATCCAAAAGCAATCTGTGTAAATCAGCGTGACATGCAAAAGGCGCCTCTGCAAGCATTGTCAAAGGCATCCTCCCAGGCAACATTGGACCCTTTGGTATATGGGTGTCCAATGCTTTTACAGGAAGTTATTCATAGTTGTTCTCTGTTATTTGTGACATGAACATGCTGGTCCTGCCCGTTGCATCCTCCAAAGTCCAGATCACCGGTGCCTCGGGCCGATGAGTCTTTCACTATGTTCACTCGTCATTAGACGTCAACCCATTTGCCCCGCAACTATATAAATGCATTGGAGTCCAACACCTTGCAAAGTTCTTCTAACACCTTCTTTCCACTCATTCCGGCTCCATGGCTTTTTGAAGCTCAAAGCTACTTCTACTCCGCCGATGAAAGAATTTGCATGCTTTGAGAGTTCACAGTGCATGCGCCTGTGATCGTCTGCGTCCACAATATCTTCACATCGGGCACTTGTATGACTGCAAGTGTATCACGTGGCCAGGATGCCTCTTTGAAGGAGATCAACTGTGAATCAGTATATTTCAGCTAGCTGCTGGCCCTGCCCCTGTAGTTGAGATAGAAGACTGCAACAGCAGAATTGTTCAATCGTGTGGTGCGGCTTAAAGCAGTTAAATGATGCTTTGATCATTTGACTTTGAAGGCTGTTCAGCTCCCTGCAGCTTCCGGTGCATGTGTCTGTGCCAGTGTGCAAATGCCACAGAGGATGATGTGCATCCCAGCAACCCTCCAAAGACAGAAGCAGCAGCGCAAATGAGGTGCCCTTCAGTGTAGTATGGCAGACCAGTCCATGAAGAGAGGACACAAAATCTCAACAAGGTGTACTGACAAAGCCATTGGCTCCCAAGTGCCGCCAGAATGAAAGTTATTACAGCTTTCCACGCTCTAAAGCCGATGGTGTGTTCCGAGATCCGGCCTTGTTTCTGACTGAAGAAACTCCAAAGAACTTGTGACGTAAACATGACACACAAGAGTCCAACTGTCGTTTGCAAGGCTAGGCGCACCAAGATGTGCTTGTGGGAGATGTCTGCAAAAAAATATGTCCAGCTTGACGAAAGCAACCACAGGCACCTTCCACTGATTGAGTGGTCCGACGTCCAAGGGAGGAGCTGGTGAGCCGCTGCGTCCGCTTTCAGTGTTTGAGGACATTCATTGATGTGCTTCCATACGAGCCATAAATATTGTGCGGCCCCCACTGTGCTGCCTTTGAATGTACCCATCACAAAGCCAGCACTCACCCTAGAGTCCATGTTTGCTTCAGTTGCGTGCCTGCAGGAACAAGGTAAATTGCTTCGCTGAAACTTCAGTATGGGTCTTGATAGGGCGAAGTCGACGCCAGCACAAGAAAGAAGCCATGCCACAACACACAGCGCCCATCTAAGACAACGAAGTGCCATTAAGAAGACTCCAAAGTGCCATGTGTCGCATGCGCATGTCCTTTCTCATATGTCTGAGACTAAGTGGCTGGGGTGAGTAGGCACTTTAAAGGCCGTTGCAGTGGGACCGTCCTCACCATGGTTTCTCCCGGCTGGCCTCTTCGCACATGCACTTCACAGCCACTGCGCAAGCCTCATCCTCAATCGCTGAAGCAATGCATCAAAACGGTTGCAAATGGCAACCTCCCATGCTTCGGTTGCTTCTGCAACCCAACAAACATGATCTATCCCACATACACGCAAAAGCTGTTGCGCAAACAGTATCGTGTTTGGCATCGTCACGGGTCACCGTGTTGGGTGTGCCTGCGCATCAGCGTCACTGGACACCAACTTCTCGGGCGTCTCCTAAGACACTCAATCCAAGCAATGGCATCCACATGAACGCTACTAGTAGCTCCTGGCATTACTACTAGTAACAAGAAGCTACTGAACAAGTGCATTTCCACTAGAGGAAAGGAAGCTACTAATCAAAGGTGCTGCATAGTGTGGTTTCTCAAACTTAGGCAAGAATCAAACATCAGTGAACCTAATGCCAGGAGGCTAGGGGGCACTACAAATTGGCGCAAACTTTGTTGATGCAACCTGCAGTCCAAAAGACTTGCTCCTCCTCTGCATCTCTGAAACAAAGGCAAGCCGCCTGGCCAAGCTAACTCCAGGCGCATGTCCGGAGATGTCGTTACACAAGAAGTTTGTTCAAATAAAAAAAGAAGAAAAAGGCGTCTGCCTCACAAAGAAGCGCTAAAGGTGTCTGCCTCAGCTGCAAACGGTGTATTGCGCTGCTTCCAATCGGGTCCCAAAAGGCCATGAGCCTCCACTATAATCGCAATGGCCTCCAACCTAATGGCGGTGGCCTGCAACCCTTGCATTAAGTGCGAAATTCGAATTAAAATATAATTATAATTTACATTTAAATTCTATTTACTTCTTGTTTCTAATAGCTTCTTGTTACTAGTAGTAAGGCCAGGAGCCCCTAGTAGCGTTTTTGCTCCTACCCCCGTCGTTTCAGAGCCAGCGATCTGAATGAAGGGATCGCCGGATCGTTTGATTCACTTGGCTATGCGTTCATTGTGTGCTCATTGTGTGCGATTCATTGTGCTTGACAAAATACACACAATGGAATGGAACATGTTGCACTTATATACTTGAGAGTTTGTGTGCTGAGCTTGCTCATCTGCAATGTCTTCGTATCTGAACCAACACTCCCGACCAAAAGCCACCCTTCCCAAACCTGGGATTCCCAGCCCTCCTTCTGCTTGGCTCTCCAGGCGCACGCCAGCACGGAGGAAAAGCTGAATTTCCTCACAACTCGGTGGCCGCCACCTTGACGCACTCGGTGGACGCAATCAACGGTGCCAAATGCCTTTCAAACCCGAACGGTCAGCTCATCTTCCAAGCGATAGCTCCTCATAGCTTTGTTGGTCCCAACTGCTTGGCTTTGTTGAGCCGTTTCAAACCATTTCAGCACCGTTTAAATGGCAACTGGTCATGTTGAGCCTGGATCTGAGCACACGATCCTGCAGCACTTGGACGGTTCCAAATGTGACACTAAGCAATCAAACTCAAGGTGTTTCGTATAGCCAGATCACACACCACCCCCTCTTTACATGCTGAGCAAACCTTCTGACAAAGAGTGGTCTCTGGTCACAGTGGATTTCCATGAAACTGTCACGCTTGAAGGATTCTCAAGAGAACTCCTCAAACGGAACATGTAGATGCAGCAGAAGGACGGATCCAGTAAGGTTGAACTTAAATCCAATCCTCAACAAGAGCTCATGGCTCATGATGGCGCTCATGCCTCATCTTCTTCAGGATCTGGCACTTCAATCTCGGGCTCCTGGACCGGGTTCGTACTCAACTCACGGCATCTTGAATTTGCCACCCATGTCTTCCCAAAACAGAAATTGGACCAAATATGTACTAATGATGACTTACCGCTAGATGAACATACTCGAACATATATATATATATATATAGCTACTGTCAGAAAGATTGTAGTGCCTCGGGGTGCTGGCAAAAGCTGTGGCCCGAAAGTGGGTTTAATTAATAAATCCGATTGAGTTTATTTGAATTGTACGTATGCTTTTCCTTGGGGCGCTCCAGCACCATCAATCAACAGTAATCAAAAGTATAAAACGAGGAATTGTTTGTTAGTGGAATGTAGGACTGTATGGAACTCCCCTTGTTGAGTTGTTTTCGGGTTGACGTTCGATGATGATCCTTGGGGAAGATCAGCAGCAAATGCCAGCCAATAAGGAGCAGCAATCAAGCAAAGGAATTAAAGCAAGCGACGTTTGCTTCCAATTGAGAAAGCTCCTCAAAGTTCTCAAAGAGGAACCACATCAAGCATGTAACACTTGTACAATTACTTACTATGCATGGTTGGTTTGTGTTGTGTTTTGGGGGGTGCGCATAGCTATAATTGGAATCAACTCATTAGTTGCGGGACAACATGACAGGAAAAACTGTGTGCAGTGGAGATTGATTATTGTTAGCAGTTCAATATCCTGCGCTTTGATGACATTGATTTAGGGCCCTCTTCATTGTCATGTGTGCTCTGTCCCATGCCTTGGCTTGCTCAGTTTATCATACTCCTATATATATATATGAATCGGCCTTGCTCGACTAGCTTTGGCACTTTCGACGGTTATCCATGGCTTAGGAACCGCTTCTGAGTTGGTTGTTGCCTTCTTCATGGCATTGGACAAATACTTTCATAATCTTACGTGTGCAAAACATGCATAGTGCTCCTGTACACACCCTCCAGAAATGAGAGCAACATTGCCTCGCCTCAAGCGCTTCTAGTTCTTCCGCATCTATCACCTCAAAACAAAAGCACGACATTGCGGAAATAAAGCATGAAGCATCTTGAAGCTAAGGAAAGATGTCTGGAACTGAAACTCAAAAGGATAAAACAGTTACAGCATGCTGCTCTGCGTCTAAACATTGCACGGTCGAGCTTGCAAGGCCTGCTCTGCGCTCCACTCAGCCGGTCCAAATGCCTCTGCCAAACATTGCAAATGCCGAAAACTATATACATCACGCTTTCCTCGCTGACTGTTCACTATCCTGTTTATGCACCATCGCATTGTACAACTTCAAGACACGGGGAGAGTCAAACAAACGTCTTGGCTCAAGATGTTGCAACATGTTGTAATTGAGGGCGCAATCATCCCAAATCTCTTTCAACACAAATTAATAGCGCACAGTCATTCAGCAGTCAGTGATCAATTACCTAACTACAAGTATCTTGAAGGAGGATGTGGGTGCTGTCGGAGCCTCTCCATGTCGGCTGCTTTGTATTCCTGGGACTTGGACTCTCCTGCAAAGTTCCTGCATGGTTGTTTCATCTCCGTTCAAAATCACACAACAACAAACTCCACAAGATGAGAATCGAGTTGAACCTCCCGGATCTCATCCAATGCCCTACCTTTATGCAGGTCACTTGCCACATGCCCGAAGTGAGTCCGACGTGGTGTTTATTGGTCGAGCCGGGAGTGCTGTCCATCAAACCCCAGGTGTCCTTCGTTGCATGCTCTTGTATGAGTTCGATTTTGTCGCAGAAACTGAACGTTTGGTAGATCTCATACAGGGTGTACCTGGGTGTAGTCGTGGGGAAATCGTGCAAGAAATGAAGGCACAAAACTTGTTCTGGACAAAACAAGATTGGGCCACCCCACGGCCCAGCACTGTTCGTAAAAGCTGCAAGATCATATGCCTTCAGCACCGAATCATCAGATGCATGAGCCTCGATGTATGTGAATGTGACTGTGGCCTCGAGGGCTAGTTATTCCGGAAGCCAAACCTCCCTCTTAAAATCCGGTTTCCATGTACATCAGCTCCTGGCTTCTCCAATCATTTCACCTAACCTTGATCTTCTGCGACTCATGTTCGCTGTAAGTCTGAATGAGTCTGATGTGTTCTTCTTCTTCAACCCCACATTGATCAAAATTATGCGTTGAAGCATGGAGGACTTGACTCGGACTTGTTTTATTCAACTAGCTCAAGCCTTCAGGGCCGCCCGTAGGGCGGCTTGGCCCGTTGCAGGAGGGGCATTTGAAGCGAACTCCTGGCTCCACCTCCATGAGTTGGTCAATCTGCAAAGGACGCACTTCCAATCGAAGCGGTGCCTGAGATAGATACTTCCGCAGTTTCGACCACAGAAAATCCTCACTGCTCTCGTCCAAGAGTGAGAAGTTGAAGTAATGATGACCACTGATCTTTTTTTTCTTCCGATTTCTGTCGCTGTCCGCCCAGCGGTCCTCCACTTCGAGGAGCTCAGCAGTGTGCGGCACTCCCCGCATCGCCAGTGTCTCTTGGCAGGACTGGATGATTGCTTTGACATCCCGGAAACTGGACATCGAATCCTTCTGAGCATGTACAGCCAGAACGATTGGGACTCTGGAGAGCTCAGAGACGACACCGGTGAGGAAATCCTCGAAGATGGCGCTGCTGGCAGGTTGCGGTGCACCATACATGGCATCCTCAGGCTCCAGTGTTCCCAAGCCATAGCCAGCCACTGACATCACCACGTCAAAAGCGTCGGGTGCGAAGCCACCAAGCTGAAATGCTCCGAAGCCACCCATGGAATAGCCCATGACCAGAACACGTTCAGCATCAAATTCATAGGCTAAGTCACTGATCTTCGAGGTGAGGGCCGTCAAGTAGGGTTCGTGCAACTTTCCGTGCACAAAGCCCAGCTGCTTCTTGTTATCACGCTTGCTGAAAGCACACCCCCAGTTGAAATGCATGCCCTCGTATGTCTGCGGGCTCATGGGCACGACAAAGATCACCCGATGTCTGAGCCTCTTCTGAATGGTAGTGAGGTAACCTGGCTCAATGCTGCCGTTGTCCATGCCGTGAAGCCAAACCAGCAAGTAGGGCTTCACTGCTTCCTCCTCTTCTTGCAGTCCTGCGAGAGCCTCATAGACCTTGTAAGTGCTGGTCCCCCACTTCCGCTTGCCTGTTCGCTCATTGTACACGCCATCTTCGCCAGTGATCTCCCCCTCAAGAAGAAGCTGAATTTTTTCTGCGCTGGGAATCTTTGGCATGCTGAGGCCATCAAAGGCCAAAAACGGCGATTGAATTCCAAGCTACAAGCTGTGATTTACATACAGTATGTGATCCCAATGAATGAAGCATTCTGGGCATTTTTGGGTTGATGACAAGTTGTCAAAAGTTTCTCGTATTGGCAGGATCTGGCAAGTGGTTGTTTTTTGCCTCTGGTCCTCTGGTTCAGGTTGCCTGTCGTGCTCGACCACTTGACTATAACCATTGAGTATGGCCGTCTGGCCATCGAAGTGCTGCGAGCAGCAAACCAGGACTTGAAGTAAGGTGTTTTAAAGCAAGTCAATCTTGTCCCAAAGGGCTCTTCTGAAGGTCAAACCAAATGATACAAGAGAACACAAGGAACAGCACTTTAGGCTACCCACTAAATGAAAATGCCCATTCGGTGGAGGAATGCTGCAAGAAGAACGTTTCCACTCTTTGCAATCACAAGGGTCATGCAGCGGCTTAAGCAAGCTGCCACTGTGCAAAGTTCGCGCCCGGATTCCAAGGTGTTGGATATCCTGCATTTGCCACTGAAATGTGTGCCAAGCAAGAAAGGAAGCAAAAAAGGTAGGTTGCTAATGCACTTGCGTACAGGGCCGCTCCTTCCGGCACTACGCATCTCCTGCCATGGTTCGGATGATCTGTTTTGGCCACAGTTTAACAGCAGTTTAACAGAAGGACTTTCCAAATGTTTAAAGCCATCACGGCGCAGTCCTGCTGCACAGCAAGAGTCATTCGCTCAGCTGAAATCAAAGTAGTGACCTGTTTGCAAATGCTGTAAAGTAGTCTGTGCAACTAGATGATTTTCTATGTTTGTCCAGGCCGCATGGTAGCCATAGAAGGTGGCTTGCATCTTCTGAGGATTGAGCATTGACCTGCTCCAGCAGTTTCTCGTGCCGAGACAAGTCTATGCCTTAGAGGGCAGTAAGCTTTCTCTACGGGTACCACGGACAGCGTGCAATTTCTGGAAGTATACTGAAGGTAGGATCAAAGTACATCCACATGTTCAAGTGCTGCAGACTAGGCTGACCACGATGGTCGAACTCCTGCTCTGCATGACTGGAAGTGATGTCTACTATAGAGCCCTTGCAACGTTGAGTTTAAAAAATGTTGCAAAAAGGCCCAACACTTCTTGATGTCGACATTGGGGTCCTGCAAAGCTCCACTCAGGAGCGGCTGCCAAACTTCCTGCGAAATCTCTCCCTTCAGTTGGGGTGATGTTTCAAGCAGTTAGGTTGGAGGCCATCGCTATTAGGTTGGAGGCCATTGCTTCTAGGTTGGAGGCCATCGCTATTGGTTTGGAGGCCGTCGCAGGGCTATTAGGTTGGAGGCTAATTATTGCTATTAGGGCTGGGAAATCGCCTCCTCCGTCATGGTCGCCGAAGGTTTCAGTGCACTACCGGCATCGTCCTGTCAGCTAGGCCGACTCATTTGCAATCAAGAACCCAAACCCTTGCCAGCCATGCGAGCTCAACTCCTGCTTTGTGGTATATTCAGTAGGTTCGTCAGCCGCAATCCAAGACCTCCAAATAAACTCAAGTGAACAATCTCGCAAAACTCGGCCCTCAAATGATTGGTTAAATAGTGCAAAGCAAGCTTCGCTAGTTCTGAAATGCAAAGAGACGAGATGGAGGATGATCAGATTCACATGCCTCGAAATTGCTGTGTGCAAATCCAGCCGCGGCGGTGGAAAATTTAACGTTGGCATGATCTGTCGGTGGGAAGTTTGTTGCCCCTGCAATGTCAACTTGATGTCTGACATAAAAGCACTACAAACACCTTCTGCAAAAACTTCCGTCTGCAAGTTGTCAAGGCTCACGTCGGTGTGACTTTGGCGCTTAGCTTTGATTGCGCATCCCTGGACCTCTGGTCTGTCATGACAACATGGCCGGCTGGAGCCACCGCTGGGCACACGAGGTCATAATTGCAAAGGACATGATGTGCCATGTTGTGAGGGCATTTGTAAAGCCCAGAAGTCCAGAAGTTGAAATATGTATATCTCTCATATAGCAGAGACTTGGAGACTCGAGTCTTGGGCAAGGCATACCTGTATCTTTGTGGCGGCGCGATGCCGTTTGGCAGGCGTGGTCTGGCAAGAGGCACCACACAAAAACAGGAACCCTCTTGACTGCCTTTGGACTACACCACGCCTCCCTACTAGAATCAAAGACAATACTAGAATCAAAGATCAAAAATGACGCTTTCAAGTTTCTTAAGGAGTTGCTTCCACCGGACTTTCCATGCCTGGGACAGCACCAGTTGTCTAGCACCTCCTGAACCTATCCGCTCCATCCGAAGCCTGGCAATACGAGTCACAAGCGAATGCAAGCCTTCAGTGTGGCTCAACTTGAGGCGGTCGTGCTCATTTCAAAAGAACAACTCTGAGCTTTTTCATCACATCGTTTAGTTGCAGACTCCTTACCTACTCCGTCCTCCTTAAATTTGATCTCTTGATCATTCTCATCTTGAGAGACCGGCGGAAATAGTCTTGAAACAGTGCAAGCCTTAGCATTCCTCTGAGCGGCTGTGGCCCTTTTTGGACGATTGCCTCAAAATCACATCTGACGTTCATGTTGTGGCAGCCAGCCAGCATAATTGCAAATAGAAAGGGAACAGTAATTCTGTTTACAGTAATCACCATGTCACACCGCCACTGTGAAGAGCAAATATGCAATCCGCTCATCAGCCTGCTCTCGGGCTACTTGAAGTCTCTTCTTTGCCAGAAGGACCTGATGCATGCGATGCATCCGTCAACAAAGGGCACAAGCAGGAGTCCCTAGTAGCTTCTTGCTCCTAGTAGTAAGGCCAGGAGCCCCTAGTAGCGTCCTTGCTCCTAGTAGCGATGCCCTTTGCTCCTAGTAGCGTCCTCTTGCCCCTAGTACTAAGGCCAGGAGAGCAGAGTCTCGGAGCGAACCCAAAGAAAGGCGATAACCGCAGTCTTGTCGTCTAATAGCGAGCGAAGAAACAGGAAGCAATTTTTCTTTTCTCACTTGAAAATACTTGAAATACGATTAAGTAGTAACAAAGAAGCTAGTAGTAACAAGTGCATCGCTAGTAGTAACAAGTGCCTTACTAGTAGTAACAAGAAGCTATTAGAAGCAAGTCTCAAGTCTCCCATAGCTCCCCGACGCGTCCCCAGGTCTGGATCTTCAAGACGCATGACCTGGCGACGGCGGCTGCTATCAGAGCAGGTCTGGTTACTGTTCCAATTATATAAATTATGTATCCCCTTGATATTGAGGTGGAGGGGTCTGGGCAACCATTTTGTAGGTATTTTTTTCAAAGTTCGGACTTCCATATTCTATATATCTATACTACCTTATTTCATTCGTTCTACCTTCATTATCTCATCTTCTATCCGATCCTCTGTTTTCCTTTTGATGTGTCTTTTCATTTTGGGTGGGGGTGGGGGTGGACTAGGTTGCAAGAGGAAAGTCGAAGCTGTAGCCAAGTGGAAAGCTTGGAAGCTACGACATGACTCAAAAGAGCAAAAGGTTCTTCCAGGAAACTTGTAGCTTCTTTGAATAACCCTTTGCATGATCAAAACGGTTCCGGACTCAAGAAAGCGCATCAAGTGGATAGAGAAATCGAAAGTGAAACATTGCTGGACATCTGATCACACGAAACGAAACGGAGAAAGCAAAAAAAACAAGTGCAAAAACATAGCCGAGTTCGCATGTAGCGCAGTCTGTCTTCATCTCTTCTCCTGTGCAATTCCAGTACGAACTGAACTGCTTCACAAGAATGGAAGGAAACGCAGAAGCATTGTCGCTTAAACCACTAGCATCAATGCATGATGCCCATCAATTACATACAGTATATTATATAAACTACTGTATATGTTGTTGAAGGCATTGAAGACCTCAAAAAGATCACAAAATGTGCCCATTCTTGATGTCTTGTTGTGACAGGAGTCATCAGTCGACATTTGATCTTCGTCAACAAATAAATCCTCTGAATACCAGAAGATCTCCACGCTCAAGCCACATGGCGCTGTGTTTTCTACCCTGCAGTACTCGAGATATCGGTGTCACTCCCGCCTCAAGAGGTCCTTTTCTGCTTCAGTGGGCTCCTTGGCAGCCAGCTTCATGCTCATTTCATATGGTTGCTTGGGCCCATATATGAGTACAAGTTGTTTCTTAGTCTTCGCTGTCAATCGACCCAAACCAGTGAAACAATACAAAGTCGCGGCAAACCTGACACTGCTGTTTTGAGGTTTGGACTTCCGGTCTTGGCTGTCGGGCCAAAATGGGAAAGCGCTCTTTCATTCGAGCCACCATCTTGATCCTGCGCTGCATGATGAGTCTCATTCCTTCTTTGTCGAACAAACTTGAAAACAAAGTAGGAACTTCTCCTTGCATAGAGCACATGGTAGACTGCCATGCGCGGATCATCAAACCTGGCAATTCGCAGATTCACATTCCAACTCACCAACAGACAAGGACCTCTTGTGCAACCACAAATTCAACTCCAACGACAAATCTCTTCTAAGGCCAAGGTAGACTTGGGGAGGCAAGTAGCCCGGGGGTGGGGCGACATGAGCAGTGGTTCTTTAAAGAAGCTTTGTTCTGCCCTCTCAAGGGCGAGAGACGCTTCATGAAGAACCTTCGCTGAAGGAAGCAGCTTGCCCACGTAGTGCTTTCTGTGTGCTGTTGTCAAAGTTTCCTGCCTGCTTTCCTCTGTGTGTTTGTTGTAGAAGAACTTCTCTCCATCCTCCGAATGGACCCGCCAAAGCACAATGTCACAAATCCGTGCAAAGTTCTGCACGTTCGGTCAGCAAAAAAATGCAAAAACATACGGTTTGCATCTTGCCGCTCACCTCAGAGAAGAGCTCCATCCAATCTGCCAGGTCTTTTCGGATGTTCTCCTTGTGTCATGTTGCCATCAAAGCAAGCTTTCAATGTCTTGGGTGATCAAAGCTGCAAGGCTGGCGATGGCGATCAATGGCCTCTTGCTCGGCGATCTCATCCTCGATCTGCCAGAAGCCTCCAACTTCGACAACCTCCAGCAAAGCAGTAAGAGTAAGAGTGCTAAAGAGTGGCGAACCAAAAAGTCAAGGCGGTTCTTGCATGTTCTTGCAATCTTTATAAGATTATTGCACAACTTGGTGCAACCTCCAGGTTGAGTATGCTTTCTCGTGTTGTTTGCGTGTTTCAACTGATTACAGTATCTCAGACCACAACTCGACGCTGGTAGTCTACAATCTCACGGAAGAGGTCGTCTATGGGATGCCTTGACCATTCAGAAAAGTCACTGATAATCGAATGACCGCCAATACCACTACGAATGTCTTGCGACATCCAGCACTTTAGCACTTTATAGTGCCAGGTCGATGCACAGGCATACATGGCTATTCAAGCCATGCGGCTTCCAGGTAGACTCACCAGTGGAGCCATTATGGAAGTATACTCGGCACTGCTCATCCTGGCCAGATGCAATCTGCAAGAGCTTGCCCCTACAAAGTGCCTCCAGTGACTATTGCTAAGTGAGGATGAAAACCTATGCTCAAAATGAAGGCCTGATGCTCTGTCCATCCAGGTGGCAAAGGAGCATTGAATGCCTGGCGAAGGAGGCAATACCGAGTCTCTCGTCTGATTCCACAGCCGGCAAAGAGCCGGAAGGGACACGTAGAAGCTCCACACTTGAAGTCTTTCTGTATACAATTGCGCTGGGGAAGCGTCTTCAGCGATCCACAGCATGTCTGCTTCTCTGATTGGGTCGATATTCAAGCTTTTAACGTACCTGGTGATTCTGCATCTGCAAACATGGCTTTCCACTCTTGAAAACCCAAACACCTGCACTGAGTATGCTCTGCTTGGCTCATAAACGAGAATTAGCTCCATTCCATCAATGGGACTGACAAAGCTCGTGTCGAGTCGAAAGTTGATGCTCTTCTTCATTGTTCGATTCAATTGCAGCTGCCCAAGGTCACTCCAGCATCTCCACCACGCCCGCTTGCTGCAGGGTAGGACAGGTGTAAAGCTCAAGGCACAACTGGGTTGTCTCTAAACCGAAACGAGCGTTCCATCCATCCCTCAGACGAAGACTGGTTGCAGTTTAGAACGTTGTAATTAAAATAGTCAATGAGTCACATGAAAACAACGTCTCGTGCTTGAACAATACTACCTTGCCTGGCGCCTCGGCATTCCGGTGGTGCCCGCAGAACCGGCAAAACTTCCCATGCCGGTCGTCCCTGGAGCAAAGCTGCTCCCTGCCTTGATGGGGAAAAAAACATGTCTGCCGTTTCTTTCTCTTGTCTAAAATGTTTTTTGTCCGCAAGACTTTAGATCCAGATATATTTCTTTCTCCCGAATCTTTCTTCCTTTCCTTCTTCCATTCTTTGTGTTTAATATTTGCTTCAGTTGCTGTGGCCCCTGCTGTCTGCGACATGGCCATACTGTACAACCTGAGCAGAAGTCCATAAACCTGCTGAGGACATGGCTAAAGCCATGGCCTGTGAACTGCCCTCTAGCCAAGAAGCCGCAGGAGCCGCGCTACCCGCGAAACACAAGGAGCCCTACCTGCTTTGTCATGTCAATGTGCTTTAGCTTGAGCAAAGGCAACGGCCGAGCTTTCATGAGCTTAGCAGCTCAGTCATTGTTGGTCTGCAAAACAACTCATGTATGGGTAACCATCAATCTGCACCTGGAGTCCAATAACTAACAACTGAAGACACAATCAACAAAGACTACTGTATACTGTATACAGTCTAGTTGACCGAAGGACGTGCACTTGAAAAGTGTCTCGGCAGAAAGGATACAGTCAATTTTGCAGGGTAGAAAAATAGCATGGCCTACTGCACACGCCTCACAGGATCTATCAAACCATAGATGCAGAAACACTCAAGAATTGCGATTATACATACATACATACATACATATATATATATACATGAGAGTCTGGCAACCTGACAAACTAGTGAGCGGATGTCCTCCTGAACCAGAATCCTGTCCTTGCAAATCGGAGAGCAGTTGGACATTGGAGTGTCTTGCAAATTGCGGATCCTCACAAGTAGGAGCCCTAGTTAGGAAAAGCATTGATTGGCTCATTCATCAGACTCTACACATATTCAACAGCCCCCGTCCAGAGCAGAGAATATGTTCTGAATCATGTTCTGGGCACCCAAAAGAGTCCTGAAAGGACATAGCCGTCACATGCTTTAGATGCTGTATGCTGCTGCCCTTCAGCACTTGGTGCTTGCTAAGCACAGAACTGCAGGCTCTTCAAGGTGTTGTCCTTGAACTTACCCCCAAGCCCTTGAGGCTCGCAAACCTGAAGGAATTGCATCTTGAAACTCGCTTGAAGAACCTGCCAAAATGTTCGCTTGAACATGACTGGATCGGGATCACTTCCGTGTTCTTTCCCCTGACAGTTCGAGACTGCTCTAAGTGAAGGGTTCACATGCAGTCACAATGAGTCGCGTCCATTTGCCAACCTTTGCAGATTCTCCAATTGAATGACTGCCGCGTGATTCATGCAAAGGGCTTTGTACTCCCACTTTACAGAGGGCTGATCACACCGTAAAACTTTACAAAGGATCGATTTACATCCTGTGGAATCAGTCTCCAAATTGCGGCTCCCAAACAAAACAAGGAATCAGGGATGGAACCGCAAAGGTCCCAGCCTGCCATGGCTTCTGAGTTGGCTGTTTCGCAACTGGCATCTCAGTCTAGAGCATACAGTTCCCAGCATGGATCTTCCGTTGAGTCAGAGTAGCAACTTTTGCTAAAAAGCTGGCATGCTGTACTCACGCTGCAGGCCGTATCTGCTGCAGCAAATTGGAAGTTAGTGCAGCCTGGGGTGTTCTGACAGGCAACACGGCACTCTGTCGCCGAGCCAACCTGGGGTGAGTAGTCGATCATGCCGTTGCCGCGGTTCAGATTGCACTTTCTGCGCCCGGCAAAAATGTATGTCCGGCAATCCAAGTAGTAAGTCTCGCCCTTCCCAAGGTAACACTTGCCACTTTTAGGAGAGCAAAAGGCTCCACAGTTACTGCAGCAGTCCTGGTGCTCTCCGCCACCACCAGTCTCGCCGGTGCTCGTACTGCACTCCAGATAGTAGTACTTTCCCTTCTTGTCATAACACCTGCCGCTGAAGGGAGAGCAAAAGTCAATGCAGCCACTGCAACAACCTGGATGCGGCCAGCTGCGCGAGGCTCGAAGGGAGCTAGTGATGCTCACTCCAGTGGTGTTTCCAGCACTTCCCTGCAGGCTGGGCTCTGCAAACACTTCGCACATCAGCAACGCGGCAACAACCCGAGTCAGAGCCATGGGCGAAAGGCGAGAGTAAATGCTGCGAACTGGCCAAAGAAAACCTTGAGCCAATGCCAATTACAAGCGCTTCACAATCATTAGATCACAACAAAATCTGTCGTACTTGTGCCTCCCGAACGTAAACGACCTGGCCCTCCTGGTTGAAACTCACAAAGGATGCACCACGGCGGCCATCCAACTGACATGGGTCTGCAAAGGGTCGTGAGACAATGTCGAAAGCGCTTCGAGAAAAATATAAAAACCAAGTCAACAAAAAGCCGTTGCACCTGTGTCCAAGTGCAGCCACAGCTGTTTTGACCGTCATCAACCCGTTCAATATCTCTGGTGGGCCTTGTTCAGATTGAGTGCACATTGCATGATATTCTATGCTCGCCTTGGGTCATGGATTTCACATGTACAGCAACTACCCCTTGCCACAAACAAGAGTGCTTTTCTTCTCCAATGTTCCGAGGCTTGCCTTAGGTTCTTTTGAATTTCACCATATAAAAACTGTATATCCCCATCTATCAGCCTTAGGGCCTTCCAAATCAAAAACCAAAGACATCTAAAGACTACCGACAGGCACTGCCGACGAAAAGGTCGCTGGTTCAACCATGGGGAAAGCACGTATCTTTGTAAAGATGGCCTCCAACCTAATACGTTGCTCAGTGATGTCCAAAAGGCCTTTTTGTCCGCAATGGTTCCGTTTCTGATGTTCATGCCCATGTGACACTCTGTGTGGGTTTGGACATTTCAGAGGTTGCCGATGGTTCTCGCCTAGAAGTCGCTATTTAAACATAGGATTCCCTGCAGCAGGTCCGAAAAGTTATGAACAGTTGCTAGGTGCTTCTCACTAACCCACCACTACAGTCTACCACCAAGGTTGAACTTCTCACCGCGGGTTTTGGCAGCTGCTCATGGTGGAGACAAAATGACAAATTGATACGTCTTGGAATCCTTAAAATTTAGCTTGGATTCTGGAATCAAGGCCCCCTTCCGCACACTGCTTTGGTAGGCTGCATAAATGTTTGCCGTGGCCATGGCAAGTCCAGTATTGTCAGTTGAAAAGAGCGAGGTTGCACGTGTGGACTAGAAGGCCAGTTTGATCAGCCTTATCAGCTTAGCTTAACACCTAATGCACACCACGCCGACCACGCCCTCCACTAAACTTGTCTCCCTTCAGGTCATCCGTCAAAGCACGCTGCAATGATGCAAACTTAAATTGCTATTGCATGCAGAGTGGCCTTGTCGTCATCCAGTAGTTGTAGATCTTTTGTGGATTGCCACCAGGAAATGAAAACTGCGGAAACAGTGTGGTTGTGTCAACGCAAAGGCAACATGTGTTCTGTTGAAACGTTGATTTGTGCACACAAACAGGTTAAGCTTCTGCAGTTGGTTTTAGATGGTTTTAGCATGTTCAAACGGTGTGCCGCCATGCACCACAAGCAGGAAGAAACCTCAACGTGCCCATCGCACCTCGGGGGATTCGTACCATGGATTGGGGGAGAAGAAGGTCTTCTTGAACTCCTCGGAACAATATCATAAAAAGATCTAGAGACAAGAGGCTACTAGTAGCAAGGTGCAACGCTACTAGTAGCAAGGATGCTACTAGTAGCTCCTGGCATTACTACTAGGAACAAGAAGCTACTGGTTCCCAAAATTGCTCACCCTCCTCAACGAAGAGCCGCTGTATGCGCCGCTGAGGGCTGATCAACTGAGAACGACGGGAAGGAAACGATTTATCAATGGGAACCGATTCCAAATCAATCTGTTAACCTGTGCAAGTAAAGTCTGGATCAAGCTTGGTTCAACGGAGAATCCTTTACTTATACTCTCTTGGCTCAGCATGTGTGTGAATCCACCAATAGGCAATAAGCTCAACAGTTGTCCTTGCTAGAATTAAGCTCGCGACCTTGCGTTTCTTCTCGGCCTTCGATATGTTTGTAACACTCTCAAAATTTATAGAAGCCCATTGCATCCAGCAAACAAACAGCCATCAAGCCAGGTTTTTGATCTTGGGCACAAACATTCTTCACTGCATACACCACCTGCAAACAACTGACACATAGACGCCACTAGTAGCTCTTGGCCTTACTACTATATAGTAACAAGAAGCTACTAGCAACAAAGGGCATCGCTACTAGGAGCAAGGACTCTACTAGTAGTGTTGGACTTAAAATATACAAAGCTCCGAGCCGAAGGAGAAATCAAAGGCCGCAGCGCTCCTCTTTCTGTCTGCGGATGGGAAAAAGAGAGCCTGGACTACCTGGCCACATGAAGATGCAATTTCACGAAAAGCAACTTAGGCTTCTGGCCCTGCCAATCTGTTAATCAGTCTTCACACGACCCAGCTTGCAGTTGAGCAAATGCACTCGTATCCCGGCAGCGGTCACTTGCTTCGCAAGTGCCAAAAGAATCTCTTAAAGCTATAGTTTGCAAGAGCTAGTTGGCTGAGGAACAGTTTTGAGAACGGTTTAATTATTCATACTTGATTATTCGACATGAGTTACTCATGGTATGTGTAGCCTCCTGTTTTGTGTTCACTCCCATGACTTCCAATAGTGTCAGGTCTTCGGGCGGCTGAACGCCCTTCATAGGTTTGGAGTTTGGACAAAAGCTTGATAAGATTCTTGAGGCCCAGCAGGGTATTTGCACAGAGGATTCCGCGTAGTGTTTAGGAATCCTCTCTAAACGTGGCACCAAATGAGAGATCCCATAGCCAATCAAACAAAACATCTACTCATGAGCTTTAAAAGTCACATCACACTCGCCAAAACCCAAAATAGTCAAATTTGCCAGGTTCGTCATCTGGCGCTTCACTAGGCTTGAAAACGAGTTTTGAAAACGAATGAGCTGTAGAGCAATGTGGCTCTGCCAGTCGCTCTATTTCTGAACTTTGCACAAACGATGGAAGCTGGTCAGGCTGGTGATGCTTCTGAAATCCTCCTGGGCGAAGGAATCAAGTTACTGGTGAAGCAGTGTATGCATAATTAAAGCCTAAGAGAACTTTGACTACGATCTTTGTTGAACTCTTTGCAATTTCTGGTTCTAATCAGGCAGGTTCACACATTGTGCATATCATGCATGTCAGTCTTGTAACCAATGTTGCGCACATAGCTTTCGGGTGATCTCGAGTAGAAAGGAAAAGGATAGTGATAGTGATTGGCAAAATAGCAACGCTGCGGCCTTGATTTGTACAAGTGGACTTCTCATCTTTCCGAGCAATCGAGTACCTACGAGTGAAAAAGAATGAATGAGTGAAATTTTGGGGTGACGTCAAGATGGATCCAAACCCTGTGGTGCTGCAAACATAAATGTTGTTGTTGTTTCATGTTGTTTCTGTCCAAGAAAACACATCATTCCAATCAACCAATCAATCACAAATGTCTTGCTCCAATTTACTGTCGAATTTGGCCTGGTCGCGGAGGCTGTGTCTTTGGGCGAGGCAATTCTTGGGGATAGGCCTGTCAGCCAGGCACAGCTGGCATTTTAGCTGCACGATCTGTGCTGTCAACGAAGCCATGGTCTGAATTCACGAGTTGGCGGTCTGACCTCCTCTTTGTCGCTCCTTTTTGGCCAAACGCCTTCCTAACACGCCCCAGCCTTTGCAGGGTCACCATGGCACGTGAGCCGATGTCACCGCTGTTGAAGTGGTGTCGGCTTTTGCAAATGCACCATGTGCTCTGTGCGTTTCATCCCCTTTGGCTGCCTGGGATGTTTGCTTCTCCCGCGAATGGTCGCAGTTGCTAAAGTGTGAAAGCCTGCCTTTTCAGCAGCTTTCACAGTGGGCTGCAAATTGTCAAAGCCGCCATCACCTGCAACCTTCAAATCTCCATCACCAATCATCAAAGTAGCTGTACCTCCCTCTTTTAAGTTTTCGAAAGCAGAAGCCAGCCACTCCTCCTGCTGGGCTTGCCATTTGGCAGCAAATTGCAAGTCATTGATCCACAGGCTGTTTTGGCCTATCTCTCTCTCCGGCGCGTAGCTTGAAGAAGAGTCAGAAATCTCAGCATTCACAGGAGCCCTTGAACCGTGAATGTCTGAAGCAGGAGCGCAAAACTGATAAAGAACGTCTCCACCAAGCAAATCAGCACAACTCCGAGCTGGTGAATGATAGTCATACACACCAGGATATGGAGGTCCTGTGACTATGGCATCAACGAGTTCTGGAAGTCTGAGGATTCGATTGTCACATCGATATATCTGACAATTGGACGATTTTGAGTAGCTCTTAAGTGCCACAACACGCGATGCGTAAAGCTTGGCAATACCACGGAACATCTGTGGAGAAAGTCCCTCTTCAGGAACCTGCTCAATCCCTTTAGAAGAGGAATGCAAATATGTCGCATCGCCTGCACGCGAGAGCGCAACCAAAAGAACAAAGTGCAAGGCATCCCTCAAAGAATTCTTTGGCAACTCTGATATCTGAGACAGAAGGAAGTGCCAACCTTCATGACGCATTTCCATAGTGGCCGCAAGGTCTTCTGCTACTTGCAAGAATTCAGCTAGATCGATGTGGCGTGCATCTGTATGATGAGTGGCTACAAGGAGTGCTAATGGGGAGACGTCGCATCCAACGACGTCCTTACCAGCACGGAGTGCTTCCACCAGCACTGTCCCAGACCCACAAAACATATCCATGACGTGTTGAGCATTGGGTATAAGTTTCAAAAGCTCACGGGCGCACATGGCTTGCATTCCAGCAATATACTTGTAAAATCCGTGCGTCAACTGATCTTCTCTAGCTGGTAGAAAAGGATAGCCCACCGCCCATTGCAGTTCAAGCGCTCTTTTCAAGTGTCTCGTTAAATCCTCTGGGCCCTCAGCACTCAACGTGTAAAGGTTCTTCTCCTTTTGGTTGGCCTTCGCCTGAACGTCCTGGAGACTCGGCCAGAGTTTCAGTACATGCTGCCACTGGCCTGCTCGCTCACAAGCACTCACAGCTGCACTGCATGCATGAACGTCCATCTCAAATTCGCTGGCAGCTTTTTGCCCAAACACATGAAGAGCATGTTGCCATTCACTCGCCCTGGAAAAGGAACCAATTAAAGCATTGTAGCTAAAGCTGTCCAAAGGTATCTGGTGTGAGCGCATCTCCTGGAAAATGGCCAGTGTAAGCGCCCATTGCCGCCCTTCTTCCAATGCCGCAATCGTAGCACTGTAGGAGATGATATCAGGCTTTAGCTGAAAGCCATGCATCTCCCGCAGCAAATGCATTGCCACTGGCCACTCAGTGCAGCATCCACTGATGCAGGCATTCATCACCACATTGTCTGGATGGCTTTTCTCCTTGCACATTTCGGCCAGAAGGTCAATAGCTCCTTGCCACTTTCCAGCTTTGGCACAAGCACTAATTGCATAGCTTACAGTGATAACATTCTTCTTGACCTTCTTTTGCTCCATCTCTGATAGAAGATCCAAGCCTTGAACCCACTGGCTGCCTTTCTCCATAGCGCTGATGCAAGCACTATAAGTGACTGTATTCGGAGAAATGTCTTGGCGTTCCATTTGACGCAGGAGCCACAAGGCATTTGGCCACTTCTCAGCCTTCTTGAATGCGCTGATTGATACTCCATAATGAAAGGCGTTCACTTCACAGTGGTTTGTCACTAATGCCTCCAAGACAATGGGAATATGGCGAAGCTTCCTCATGGGTCGATACAAACCGGTAGGCGTTCCAAGTGATCCCATGTCTTAAAACCTGGGATTGATTCAATAAAGTCCCGAGCAAGTCTAGTTCCGGTCTGTCTTCGAACATGTTTGCTGAGAACTACTCAAAGGGATGCTTGTGTAGAACTGTTGCGGGATCCAACGGCACAAAGTTTGGTGAAGAGTCTGAAGGGCACATGGGCATTCCCTGAACACATTTGGGTTCGACGTCTGGTTTTCCCCCTACTGGAGGTTCTGGAAGACCTAGTCATGAGTTCAGATGTATAGAGGGCATTGCAAGAGGGGCAAGAGGGATAATTGCGGCTGGGTGAGAAATTTGATGAAATTTGACTGACACCGAGAAATCGTTGCGATGCACAGCCGCATAGCCGTATTCCGCATTGTTTCTTTCACCCTGGAAGAGAAGGATAATTTCGGGAATGGCTCTGCCCCGACGGGGTCAAGAAATGTTCAACAAAAGACCACGATGTGAAGAGTGGGAGCCTCATAAAGTGACATGCGATACTCATAGATATCAAGACGCATTATATGAATAATTACTGTGTGAACATTACCTACAGAAAATATGTTTTAAAACAAATGCTGCTTCACCTCAAGCACAAAAATGATGCTACTGTACTTATACTTGTTTAGCAGGGCACACCCCATATAGAAGGACTGGACACCGTAAGATGGTGACCTTTCAAAACACCTCCTACGGTGCAAGGAAGGAACGTTGATTTGAGTGGAGAAAGCCCATTGAGTGAGTGAGGTCGCCTTCCACGCTCTTTGATGTTACACCCAGTAACACTAATGGCGACTGCCCTCTCAAATTGTACATGACATCTGGCCCTTGTGCCATCTACCCTACAACTATGAACTAGGTCGAATCAGCCAGCCGAATCACTTGCATGCAATTTAACCTAACCGAATCACTTGCATGCAATTTAACAGTATATACATGATCGATCCGTATCAGGAGTGCCAAAGCTAATGTCAAAGCTGGCTCAAGTTGCCAAGCATCTTTCTGCCAGCCAAATTACTGAGGAGTGCAGTGCCCAATTGAGGATACGACCGAAAATCTTCCAGGAAAGGTTGAAGGTCTCTGCTGATAGTTTCATGGGTTACTTCCTGATTCTTGCACAAAGCGTTGGCAGCTGCAATTGCTGGGCTCGGCATACCGGACACCCGTCAAGCCCGTCAAGGCTCGCAAGCGTGGACATTGCAAACCTGGTTGTAGAAGCGATGAATTGTTTGATACTAAAGTAAGTTGCTCTACTTCTTGAGAGGCCTTATCTTGCTTGAACCACTCTAGAAGGGGATGTTGCCATTTTTCCATGACCTTGATTGCTCGTCACAAGAGATGGGCGCCATTGAAGGAGTATCGCATTTTCTAGGGGCCTGTCTGCATCCGCTCTCAGGCCAGCTCTGATGGTTCGGTTCGACAATGAAGAACAGCAAAGGATGGCGCGTGTCTAGGTTTATAGCAAAGGTGTCCGTAACAAAGAGTACATTCTTGTTATATACATGGTGTGCCCAACACAGTATGCAATGAACTATATTTGTTCACATCGTGTGCTACTTGAGTCTTGAGCCGAAACCCATCAGCAACTGCCTCATGCTCATCGGAGGTCTTGTTCATATGGGTGTGCATTTACATAATGAAACCTCGAACCAATGGATTTGGGCCTCTTCCCTTCCAGGGGGGGTCAAACTGTGAGGTCCCCGCTTTTAATGCCCACTCATATCCATTGGCCTGGTTGCTCTCCTCAAACTCCGTGTAGTGAAAGCGAGGCTTGGCAGTATGGCCAAAGGGCCTGAAGTGGAAAACAAGACCAGCGGGAGGATCAACAACCTCTGATCAAGACAACAGCGACTCCGCAAAGCCAAAAGAAATGGTTGCAGTATTGATATATATATATAATATATATATATACAATAGTTATAAATATATAACTACGTATATATATATATATGTGTATATCGAAGTTGCAGCCAGGCAGCATGTTTGCAACACAAAATTTTCCCCGGGATGCCTGGCGAACTGAAATGATTGTCCCTGCTGGGACTGCTGATGCCAATGGCATTTCAGGAGGCATGTGCAAGAGTCCACTCTGTGGAGAAGGCGGGCGCAGCTTGTTGATGCTTGTTGGTTTTCTATGCAGAGAAAGAAACGAGCCTGCTTTTCAGAACCGCATTGTATTCTGCCCAGCCTCTCCACCAATCACTGGCAGGAGATCGAGCATTGGGACAAGAGCTTCACCCTCGGGCAGAGTGTCCGGCAAGGAGGTTCTTCAAAGTTTGTCGGACAGGTTTGTCAAACCTTTACTGGGCAGCCAGCTGAATTTTCTCGCCAAGAGCTTATGATCCGCTCCTGAAGTATGTTTGCGTGCGAAATGATGTTCCTCAAGGGCTCAGTCTTTGCTGGATCCTTACTATTTCCTTTGGCATGAGCCAACCGCATGTCACGGCATGCCGTGGTGCAATAGTAGGGCAACACCTGCTTCAAAAAGTATGACATGGGCTATTCTCGGGCAAAAGTCGCTCGAGGAAAGCGCTCGAGCTCAGGTGTCCATTAGGGCATGGCCGCTCGGCCTGCTTATTTGTTATCTAGCGGCTGTGAGCAGTCTGACGTGCCGTGTTGCCCGTTGAGTTCTTCTGGTGACTGTGTAGTGACAATGCATCATGGGCAGTCTCTGGAACCGTTGAGACTTCAAGGTCTAAGTTGCCAAAGGAGTTTCCACAGAATGTGTTTTGGTGAACAAAAGATGTACTCAAAAAGGTCGTATCGTGCCTAAGGGGAGGATTCAAGCCACTGCAAAAACAAATAAATATATGTACCAGCAATGACGGGAGGTCCATGCTGACATACTTGAACGTGCTGAATTTCTCCACAGTATGTGAAAAGCTACTGCCAAAGAATGGAGCTCCTCATCCTCTTGCTGATCTCTCAAAATGCGCACCTTGGCATCAGGTAATACCGTTTATATAAATGATTTACATGATGCCCTCCCTTTGTCCAAGAATGCCCTGCCTCGTCCGCATCCAAGCAGCAATGTCTCCTTTGCAAAGACGTGGATTCTCGGTGCATCACGGGTGCAGAATTTCATCCGCCAAGCGGCGTCTTACGGGTGCGCCGCAGAGCTGCCAGGGAAGACTCACCGTTCACCTTGAACAAAGGTGAAGACTCTCCGACTGGAAGGAACAGGCTTCACACAAAATGGTACCCACCACCTTCACGATCTTTGGTGAGGCCGGGTACATTGTAGACCTGTTTGCATGTGCTCTAGTGCTTGTCCAATTTCAAAGTGAGCTCAGAATAAGAAGAAATGAGCCAGCCAACCCACTTCCACAAACAAGGCAATCGTTCTGCAAGTAAGCCCAGGCCAAAGCCAAACTTGCTCTGTCTGACGTTGAAACGTACATTCTCCAAAGCATGACATAAGTGTTTGAAAGCAATGCCTCATCTCTACTGAGGTCACCGGTGAGCCTCTCACCTGTTCTTGGAGCAGTTGCACATAAAGCCCTAGGTCCCTAGGTTGTCTAGAGCCTACACTGAAGAAAAGACAATGCAAATTTCTGCAAATTCAGTTAAATCATGTTGATGTTTGTGTGACTCTTGCGCCTCAGCACCAGGATCATGTCGCAGCTTTTGAAGATTCATTTTGACTTTTCGTGGCAAGACTGAGTCCTTCAGTTTGCGAAGGGACTTTGATGCTACACGGCAGTCTGACGGATGCTCTTCCTACTTGGCGATAAAAAAAGCGATGAAGAGTCCTGGAGCCAAGCGAAGCTCTGGGTTCCTGTTGACGGAGTCCTAGCCACAGGCATGTAAAGGGCAAAACGTGCGGGGAAAAAATAGAAACAGAAATTTGAATGTATCGACATGGAACTTTGACCTTTCGGCCTTTCTGATCACCAGCTCTGGTCCTCTTTTCACTTTCCCGCGATCCAGGCAAACTTCCAGGCTCTTCAGGGCTGTTTTCAGGTACACCAGGCGTACTTCCAGGCAGTCCAGGACTGTTTCCCGCTAGACTAGGAGTGCTTCCAGGCGGTCCAGGACTTCTTCCTTGCCAGAACATTGTCGTTTTGACCTGTCATCTGATGCGACTCATCTGCAGGACAGTCCTTCCAGTGATGCCAAAGGCACGTCAGCCTGTTCCTCAGCATCCAACCTATTGCACAAGCATCTGTTCTGCTTACAAACGGGTTTTGCTATGGCTATCGCTGCTAGAGTCAGATCCTCTTGGACCCTTAGACTAACATACTTCTGGCAGACCACTTCTAGGACAGCAAATATGGAGCAAGAGAGGAGCCAAGTGCCCGAACAACCAAGATGTCAAGATGGTTCAGGTGCTCTGCAGTGGCGGTCCTTTGGAATCGAGAGGGCCAGCAAGAACGGCTGGAAGCAAAGGGAAAGCCTCTCAACACGGCCTGCTGGGAGCTCGTGAAGTTTGTGGTTCATCTTCCTGCAAGATCACTCCAAATCTCAACCTGCGTCAGTGACTGCACAACTTTCTCATTCAGTCTCATTCAGTCCTCCCAGGCCCCCCCAGGAGAAAGCCATCCTACCGCGGCCCTTGGGGGCATTGGAATAGATCAAACGCCTGGAAAGGCCGGTGCCCAAAGAGGTTGTTGAAAGCTTGTCGGAACACATAGAACACACAATAGAATCACAATAGAATCAGAATAGAAAAAATACAGAAAACGTACAATGATTGAACACACTGACACACACGATGGGTTGAGTTAGGAGATCAGTTGGATGATGTAGCCTAATTTAGCCAGCGCGGGTGTAATTTCATGCAGTTCAACATATCTGAACGCGAAAGTAGAGGGGCATCCAACCTGGAAAGCGCTGCGGACAAATCCAACCTAATCTTGGAAAGCATGAACATGAACATTTACAATGAAAGAGCTGATTCTCAGTGATTTCAAACTGCGTGTGTAATTGTGCGGTGAAACTACGGAGAACAGCTTGAGCAACAGTCAAGCCACGTCTTTTGGCAGGTATATGTCATATGGTGGAAAATTCCGTCTTACTGAATCGCCATTCTTCGCCCAAAAAAAATAGTCAGACTCTTCGTTCACGAATCTTTCGCGAACCCCGTGCTTAATTAGAAGTCTTCTTGGTTTGACGGTTTCCACATACCTATCTGCCACAGATTATGTTTTAAAAAAACATTGTGTTCGCGAAAGTGAACACAAAAAACTGTTGTGAACAATGTAAGGGGCCCTCAATGAACCTAGGCCTTATGTCGACCTTTAGACAACTACCATGTGTCACTGGACATCTCCCGTGACATCACAAAATGACTGCAGCCCCCGGCTGCTGTACATCAAGTCTGAAGCGGAAAACATGTGGTGAGTTCTTCTCATATATATATATACATACATACATACGCATCCACAAATTTTTCAGGGGGTAGCCTTGGAGAAGTGCTGTGCTGATGCTGAAGGGGGGTTAATTCTTGTCGCCAATCTGCACCACGTGATGTGAAATGTGTTTTGTCGATCGTTGGCTTCAAATCTGAGAGAGCGTGTAAACTTCCAGGGTACAGAGAATGCATGCAATGAAAAGTCCGGTCCTCTTCACTTGAGCCTTGCCTGCAGTGAGAGCTTTAAACAAGCATATGATGTGGTTTAATCTCTGAGCTCCAGTCTTGTTGATCTTTGTGGAGTCTCCTGCAAATAGATCAAATTTATATATATATACAGAGATAGAGAAGGTTTCAAGTATAGTTCTTAGTTTGTCTTGGAGTCCTGGTCCTCCCGGATTGCGGAAGAATACGATGGGCTTCCCACATCACCGGGCAAAGTCAAAACTGCCTTGCTGGTGTCCTGCACATCGCGGGTGTCTTGCTATTTGTCTAGCTTACGTAACCTGTTGGAAAATGTCTCGTCACTGGCCGATTTGTTCTCCCAGCTATCTCCAGACCTACAGCATGAAACTTTGCACGTGTACTGTAGTAATTCACAACATACTTTGGGTCTTCTGTGCAGTGGTCCTGTTGGAAGACTTCCAATGGAAAGTCTGATGGACTTGGCACATCACCAGGCAAAGTCAAGATCTGCCCTCTGTTGTCCTGGGGCAATAATTAACAAGGCATGAATAAGGCTCTTGCCTGTTTGCGGCTCTATGTCTATCTAGGCCACCGAGTTGTGACCGTCTCAGTCCGTCTCGCCCTCTTGTCGATCGACGATATCGAAGCGTTCCACATCTGCCAAAGGTGTTTTGTTCCTCTTGTGTGTTTCCACCTTTAGGCGTCAGTGTAGCAGAGGCAGCCTTAGTCTTCACCGAGTTCACAACACCTGGGGTTGACTTGTGGACAAGTTTGGAAGGGATGCTCCAATCCAACCAGGGTAAGCTTGGACCGAAGGTGGTACTGCCATCACAAAGAAAGAGAATCTTGGAGCAATAGACTCTGGTAAACCGGGCTGGAAGCGCCAAAGGCTCAGATCTTCAATATGAAAAATCAAAGGCTCATGTCATTTGTCAATTTTGCCTTCCAGATTGATTGAGTGATTGCATACTGCTCATTCTGTCAACCTGTTCATGTCTACTTGGTTGGCTACTCCGCAGGTGTTTTGGACCCTAAAGGTCTGCGATGCTTCTTCGATAGCGCTATGGCTGGTGCATCTGTACTTCTGCCTTGAATTTATTGAGAACAACCTCAATTATTTCTCAGGTGGAGCGCCAGTCTCATGTGGCTGTGAGTCAAAACCCTGCGCCTCTTGTTGACCCCCGAAAGTGAACCCCATGGACTTCCGGGGATATCAAGCCACCATGGTTTGGCATGAATGGTTTTGACCCGTCCATTGCGCGTACAGTAGGTACAAAAGGACTTGAGAGCCCCTCCATCTGGTTCTCCAACAGCACAGAGCACCCAGAAAAGACATAATACAGCAAACACAACAAGACAATCCTGGCGGGTAAGATATGATCTCCAGCCATCTTGCCTTCATGAATTGCAGCAGGCCAACTGCCTACTTATGGGAATTTTAGAAACATTCGTTCAAGGCATCAATCAAGTGACTAGCAACTGAGTAGCGCACACAGCAATGCCACGCGTCCCGGGTCACAACGGGGCATGTCGGCGAGAACTGGCCAATAAGGAGCACTGTAAGTCCAGTCAGATTGCAAGTGCAATGATTGTTCTCGAAAACGTGTCAGTCTACCTCCAGAGCAGCTATTACATGCACTGGACAGCGACTGCTTGATTGACCTTGTGATATCTAGGATCATGTGGCATGCACATGTCAGCTTCTTGCCTACTCAACCCAGCAGCCTGCAAATCTAGGATCAAGATGGATCAAGACATGTCTTTATATTTACCACAAACAGGCCCACTTGTATACTGACAACTATCGCCTTTGACTGCATTCAATTGAGGTTGAATACTTCGGGGCTTCCTGGGTAGTAGCTACTTAAGCTTACTAGCTTGCTTAAGCCTACTGCGATCAACCCTCCCGGGCAAAAAAAAAGAGTCCCAGGCTGAGCCCGGAGGTCGAGTCCCGAGTCCTTGATCACAACTCTTTCTTCGCAATCTGCTATGTACTCCTCAGCTATCTGCTCCCAATCTTCGGAGAGCTCAAGAGTCGCGATGTGCACAAGCTCCGCAGACTCTGCCCACATGGCCTTGACAAATTCAACACAACCTTCATGCAACACATTCTAAGGCATTCCACACAACTGTGAAGCAATCCTGCATATCGATCAATTCTCTTGTTCTCGCAACAGCCGAGCCTCTAAATTTATCGCTTCCTCAGCGGCCTCAGAGACCAATCGTCGCCAGTCTGGTCCAAGAGTCAACTTCCCACTGAAGGTGCGGCTTCCCTGGGTAAGAGAAACAGCAAAGTGGTGAATACATGCAAGAAACGGTTAAGTACATCAAAGAATGCTTGTCGCTTCTCGCCCTTAACCTTGCCATGGAGGTGCTTGACTTATCTATGTATATATATATATATTATATATAACTATAGACAATATATGTGATTTATATAGAGTATAGCTAGTGTTTTATAAATCTGTGTGCAATCTAGCACCAACTGAAACTCAAAGGCTTTGCTCCACTGCTATCTTTTTCTGCCCCATTTTCACTTGAATTGAAACCTTCTCGGAAAGCCAGGCCTCACTTGCAAAAGTTGGAGGCCTTGAGCTTTGGCTTTCTTGGGGTCCGTCATGCCCATGGGTCGCATCCCTGGCATCCCTTGCTTTCTCAGTTTCTTCATGGTCTCCTCCTCCTCCTTCTCCTCCATCTTCTCCTCCTTCTCCTTCTCTTGCTTCTCCTCCTCCTCTCTGCCCTCCTCTCTCTCCTCTTTCTCCTGCTTCAGCCATCTCATTGGCATGTTCCTGCTCCTGCTGCTGCTGCTGCTGCTCATTCTTTTCAACCGCAGCGCTCACACTTGGGGCTTCAAGTTCTGAATCTCCAGCCTCTGAAGTCGCATTATCAAGTGGGGACGCATCAATATCGCTTCTGGGCCTCTGTGTGTCATCTTCTATGTCTTCATCCTCTTCTTCTATTGCTTCAGACTCTGAGGAGTACGACTCACTACTACTGTTTTCACTTGATAGAGACTCACCTCTGTCACTTGATGCATCCGCTCTTCCAGATTCCACCTCTAGAGTTCCCCTGCCAAACTCGTCCAGCTCATTTGACTCATCCCCTCTCTGCGATTCAGATTGGGAGCCCTTGGCCTTGACCCGTCGACGGCGCGGCCGTGGCGGCCGCATTCGCAGCACAGGCTCCTCGGAGTCCTCTGTGAGTTTTCGCAGCAGTCTTTTGGAAGCGTCCAGCTGCATGATCTTGTTGAGCAGTGATTCGGCATCATCCCCATGTGCCACATTCTGCATTCGTCCCATCCGGGAAATCGTTCGTGAGTAGATCACCAAGGACCTAATATGTGAGGCCTCTTCCATCACTTTCTCCACAATGCGCCGATATTCCTGCTTCGTTTTACCTTCCAGGATGCAAGCATACAGCATCTTACAACTCAAAGGGTTGCTCTGTGAAAAACACCAAAACGTACCAAAACATCATGTCCGGAACGAGTTTGGTATATTGTACGGCGTCCCACAAGTTGTGCAAGTTGCTGGAGTTGGTGCTCGCATCATAGTCTCCGGACTCGACTGCGTCATCAACCTCGGCCTCAAGATGCCTGGGACTGCTTGGCCAGCGACAATAAGTGGCTCTGTGATTCTGTGATGTTCTGTAATTATTTTCTCTTCAGAATCCGAACGTATCTGTTCAATTCTCTTCTTCTCTTGCATCTCTCTATGCGTCTGTCTGTCAACCTTTCTCCCGGCCTGAGGTGTGCCTCTAGCACTCTACGCAAATCTGGCATAGATTCCATGACGCCCGCACCAGGCTCTGCGAAGGCTTTCAGGAGTTCTGGAATGATGTTCTCATAGGTGTCAATTTTCAGCAGCACCTGGAGCTGAAGCCGAGATGTGTTATTTTCAGCGACCAGTGCTGCCGCATTTAAAAGTTTCTGTGGTTGCTTGGAGGTGTCCCTTCCTCATCTTGCGAGAAAGCTCTTTCATCCAAGCCACACATTGCCAAAAGATGCTCGTCACATGCTCCTACAAGAGCGATGTACAGAAGACACAATTAAGCACGGCTGCTACAAATGTGTCCCTCCACATATCCTATAGGCATAAAAACATGAAGCAAAGCACATTGTTTCATGTCCCATGCGATCATGCGATCACAAGAGGATCTGAGGCCTCCATGATCTCGTCCATTTGAACTTCCGCATTGTAGCGTCGTTGTTCCTCAAAAGAAACACAGAACGAGCGTGAGGACGGCTTCTCAGGGAAGGACGGCTTCTCCTCTGGGAAGTCGTTTCGCTTCTTCGCCGCCACGAAGATTCGCATCATGCGGACGGCCTCCAAGCGTCAATGACAGCGCTGTGGGAACCAACAAGGGTTGAGTTTCTGCGAGCCAAACAAGGATTCAGCAAGAAGATTTGCTGCCCACCAACTGAGCTGAAGAAGTCCTTTCAACACTCTTCCTAGGCCAAGCCAGGACAATACAGAAATCAGAGCCACGTGCAAAGAACTATTACCCCCCTAACAAGGAAACTGCCAGAACTATCCTCTGGGGGAAGTGTGTCAGTATCTGCCTGGGTTTGGGGATGGTCTTGGCAGAGTCAATCGTCAATTGTCAATCTCATCCAGCAAAATCATCATAAACTGCATGAACATGAATCTAAAGAATGACAGGTCTACAAGTCTACAGCGGCCTAGGATCGATAAGGTGTCTCAATAACACTGAGCAAACTTGGGACTGATCTGGATGGGTATTTCTGACGTATTGTACTGGCAACAAAATATTGAAGTAGATGAGACCAAATGCGCAGCATCACCAATGTCTGGGTAAGGAAAGTCAAATTGATCCTTTCCGGCCTTGGCTCGACGTCCCCTCATAGCCATGCTTGCAGCCCGACCAACTGTTCGGATGGCCAAGCGAATGGCTGTTCTCGGAGATCCATGGTCAGCATGGCCGACAGAAGCCCTGGACAGGATCTTGCTGAAGAATCAAAGAATGATGCTTCACAGGTGTCAACAGGTAGACTTCAGATAAATATGTACTTGCTATGTTTTGGTACCCGTGAAACGCTCTCTGATGTTCTGGTGATAAGCCAAACATGATATTGGTGGGCATCAGGATCGAGCAGGTTGATAACTCAATTGGATGAATTGTACATTGTACACCCTGCACGGCTTGTGATGCTTGCCGCATCTCGCACTCTAAATTGAACAGCATTGTTGATCAGGTTCTTGAGTCATATTATGGAATCTAGTCTCCCCTTCTCCCTGAAATGAAAATATTATTGGATTTTCTCGCTACTGTACATGTCCTTTCCGCACTTCACCGAACAGGTTCTTGCATCGGGAGCTGTAGCTTTAAATAAACAATTGTTCAGCTTCCACGGTTAGCATTTCTGTTTTGCTGTAGTCCCTCTTGCTTTCGTCAGCCCTCTGATACTTCGCTAAGCCACGCCCACTTCCTTCACAAGTAGATCTCTGGTCCACATGGTTGTACGAAGACTGAAAATACTCCCAAAAACCAAAAGTCCTGCAGAACCTAAAGCTGGAAAGAAAACAATAAACACAAGACGTCTGTCCCAAGGTTGATAACAGCTTATTGGCATGCAACCGTTCAATTCCGTCTTCCAGCCAGCGCCTCCTCAGAATGGCTCTGCGTGCTGTGCTGAAGGTCATCCTGACGCTTTGAACAGCTGACTGCAGCTCGGCCGCAATTCAAACCCCTCCCGAAGCAAACTTTGTATCACCTGTTGTCACACCCTCATCAATTTGCTAGTCAACAACTTTGAGATCACTCAAAGCCAAAAGAATTATGAAGAACGCCATCGCCCACACTAAAAAATGTGGTTTCTGCTTGCAATGACACACTATGGGACACTGATGCATGAGCAGGCCACCGTAGTATACAAGAGCACTCAATGGTTCACGTGCGAAATTAGCTCGACATTGCTCAACTACCCCATCCACCATCTTCACACGAGCAGCTACAGCATATGTGCATAGCGGCTCAGTATCGACAGTGCTTGAAAAAAAATGTTACAAGTACCATTTGGTATTTGACTGAAAAACATGCGAGAAAATAAATTCTACCAGCATAGACCCCAAACAGTCTCAGCTGGATTTGTTGCGTCAATTCCTGAGTTCCAATGTTGGTGGAAACGTCTGTTGTTATGTTCCTGCAGCCTCCAGTTTTTTGGGAACAGCATGTAGACAAAAAAGAAAGAATTGGCACGCGCTGCCACAAGAAAACAAACTGGACAAGGCTGTGGAGAAGAAAGAACCCACAGCGCGGCCAAGCAGGACAAACAAACCTGGACAAGGCTCTGACAAGGCGGTGAAAAAAGGGCGGACGGCACGGCCGCGGCCATCTTGGCCCACAATGATTTCCTAGGACAAAACCCAACATACGCCAACAGTAATTAAACGGTTTGGTGAAAAAATGAAAAGATCCACAACATGCAAGTAGGGCCTGTTAAAAGGGGACTGCCTTACCTTCCTGCTTTTATATTTCTTCATATTTGTTTCGTGGAAACAGCCAAATTGCCGCCAATGTTTGTTGATCTCTTCACTGCTGCCAATTCGTACGAAACATAGTTGTGCGCCGACGCCTGATCAGTTGCAAATCTCGAGTTGGTGGCACCGGTACTTCCTGAAGGGCATCAAAGCTTTTACGCTCAAAGGCTCACAGCAAGCTGAGTGAACTTGAGGAATTCACGCATAGACGCATTTGTGAGGTAGCAGTGAGCATATTATGGCTGCACAGAACCATTTTTCCGACGATGCCCCAAACATCCTCCCTTGCCGTCGATAACCGTCCACGGCACAGTCGGCGGTGAACAGTCCGCATCCGTCGACGATGCCCCAATCAAACAAAGGGTGCAGGTCCCAAATCCCCCCAAGCCTCCTTAGCTCAACCCAACACCTTCTTTTGCAAACACCATACGTGATACGTACTCATCTCATTGGACATTTGCTGTGCAGTTCGTTGCCAAAGCAAATACCCAGAACTTGTCAAGTGACATCACGTTCAGCACTTCAGTCACAACCTGCGCGAACTCGAGTCAGGAGCACCTTGATGGTTGGAGCCGGAGACACTGAAGGTTAAGAACAAGAAGAAACTTCCATCTACGTCAACTTAGTTTCAACCCTGCCATGGCTACGTGCTTTATATAGCAGTTCTCAGCTTGCCGGCGCCTGGCCAGCGGTGGCTTTGTCAGGACAGGACCGCGACCGGTACGAAATGAAACTCGGACCCGGATCCGATCGGATAGGACATTCGTGTTTCTGACAGCTGCAAAGGCCCAATGACAGCGCAAAGGCTTGGCAAACATCCGAGCCAAGAACCATTGCAACAAGTAGGTTGACGTGTTCCAACCGTTTTGTGGCAACTGCCATGGGAACATGTTTGAAAGCCTGTCCAGTATTGGTCCACGCCTGCCAATGACCAGCTTCATATCTGCTTCCCCCCTTGACCGCTCCTGTGACTACCACCGGCTAAGGGGGGTGGATCTAAAAGCCTCAACCCCCTTAGGAATTCTAAAGTGCCCCTTATGTCAAGCACTGTTCAACCCGATTCAGGGTCGGGTCTGGCTTCTCCATGTTTGATTCTATTTTTTTGAGAAGCAGCCCCCTTGATCGCCGCTGTCACCACTACCGGCTAGGGAGGATCTAAAAGTTTGACCCCGATCTGGGGTGGACGAGTTTGGGGCTGTTTCGTTGTTCGAGCTGGCCGCCTCAGGTTGATCGTGAAGATGCCTTTTCCCAAAGGTGGTGCTGGGCTCTGTATGGTAGCAGAGCTGGCACGGTTCGTCTACGGCCAGGCGCCGCAGCTTTCGACTTGTAGGATCGGCCGCATTCTCCTGGACTGCTACGTATCTTTTACAGGACACCCTCTTTGGGAATGTCAGCTTCGCGTGTCTTCTCCAAAGCACCCGCTTTGGAATGCCAGCTTGGCAGCGTGTCTTTCCAGCGCTCTTTTCCCAAGCACACGCTTTGGAATGTCAGCTTTTCCTGTCAGGTATCAGCACTGCTTGGGACGAAGCAAGCTGCTCGAAAGCAAGAGATCTTGCTTTCATATGGTCGAGGGTGCCCGCTCCCGGTACTCCGGCCTGTATAGCAGCCGCGCCGACGTTCCAAGAACAACAAGAAGGACTGGAAGGACAAGCAGGAGCCGAAGGACGAGACTAGGGGCTGATGGTGGCCGGCCTGACGGCAGCTGATGGGACGCGGGCTGCTTCGACCTGATCTTTTGAGCCGACCTTTCTCATGCAGAAAATGTAAAGCAAACTGCTATTGACCACAGGTAATGTTTAAAGGTTCTACCCGGATCCGTTATTGTTTTGATAAGACCTGCAATAAAAAAAAGTTGCACACGTGTGAAGCAAATCACGTTATCTGAGAATTGCCCGCAATTGCAGCCCAGGGTCAGGCTTGTCTGCCTTCGTTTGATTCCTGGAAGGTGTCTGTCTGCTGGAAGTCAGAAAGGCAATTTTCATGTCTTGGCAGAAGGAAGCTCAGAAATGTGCAGCTAGTGACAATTGAGAATTTGACTTCAGGAGCAAAGAACATGAGGACATGGGAAGTCTTGTCAGAAGTGGTGCTAGTGATTGTAAAATACTGGCGGCAACTAAAGCCTTCACTACACTTCTTGCCCGCTACTCGCCTCTGTTTGATGTTCTTTTTCGCCACCAACTTGGACAATGCAACCTCAGGAAGTCCTCTTGTGCCCTTCAAGCAAACAGCTAGTCACGTCTCGGGTGGACTAAGCAGTCAATAGGAGCGCTTTGAAGAAACTGTTCTTTCAGGATGCAAAAGCCTTGGTGTTTCATTTGTACTTCGGATGCTTCGGCGGTGCGTCCCTCTAAGTATCTCAAAACATTGTGTGCTTGCGAGATGACAGGATGCCTAGGTTTCTCCCCCGGCCCCTCCTCTCATTATTGAAGCGTCTCAATTCTAATATAACTTCAACCCTCTGCCAGTCCGCCAAGGTACAAAATCAACTGTTGGCTTCAGAAACTCACGCAATCTGGACGGAGAAGACGATTCCTGCTATCATTGTGAAAGCCACCAGCAGCACGATAAATACCAACATCTGAAAGCTGGCTGTGGATCAACGCTCATAGTACCTCTCTTGGTCTTGATACTCCCATAAATTTGCAAGAAATGCTGATCGACAGTCTAAGAAATGATACGCACGCAGCCACTCCTCGTCCGCCTGCTGGGGTACCCTGGAAGCGGTACAACATGTTCATTCTAACTTTCAAGGAATCAACAACAGCAGTAGTAACAGTTTAAAGAATAAGTAACAAAGGGGGGCCTCCCATCAGCTTCATGACTCTTGCTCCTGATGGCTGTAGCTACCATGTCCTGCTTCACATCAAATTAATTGGCCAGCCGGCCAGCCGCTAGTTCGTTTTGAAGCTTGAAAAACTTGGAATGGATATCTCTCAACACTTGCACGCGTCTAGACTCCTTGTGCACAGAAGTGCATTGTCCACAAATTCTAGGAAACACCTAGCCTATCTGATAGTGTCCTGCTCATTTCCTTCAGGGGACGTTGACAATCTCTGCCGTTCCAGCGGAGATTTCCTTCAAAGAAATCAAACAGTTTCTGTGTCTAGCAATTTTCGGTTGCAGGCATTGTCTGCATAAGCTGCATTTTTGTAACACTCCGCCTAGCTCGTGAAGGTTCCATTGTCTTCCGTCTGCCAGATTTACGTGCGGCAGGGGCCAGCACCTCCTCCCAAGGAAGCTCTCACTTTGGGCGCTCTGTTCATAGTGAACAGTGAGAGTGACAACAATGAGTAAAGCCGCTCCTCGGTCTCGTTGTTCGGCCTATGCCCATGGATGTTGACATACAATGTGACAGAAAGAATATAAAGAATACTGTCGAGCCTTGCGCTCGTGTCATGGCTCTTGCTCCTGATGGCTGTAGCTGCCGTGTCCTGCTTCATGTCTTTATATAGTGAATCATTGCAATTTGTATAATGTGCAATTGAAATAAGGTCAAAACTTGCTTGCGAACAAAGGCAATCTCCTTTGCCTCTCCTTCTGCCTCTATCACACGGATCGTCCTGAAAGAAGACTTATTCACTGGTGGAACATCGAGATAAAGACAAATTTGCACCAGCAAAGTGCTCCTCGACAAGTCTGCATCAGTCTTGCTGCGAACGCCCACACGTCTAGACTCCTTGTGCACAGAAGTGCATCGTCCACAAATTCTAGGAAACACCTGGCCTATCTGAGAGTGTCCTGCTCATTTCCTTCGGGGGACTTTGACAATCTCTGCCGTTCCAGCGGAGATTTCCTTCAAAGAAATCAAACAGTTTCTGTGTCTAGCAATTTTCGGTTGCAGGCATTGTCTGCATAAGCTGCATGTTTGTAACACTCCGCCTAGCTCGTGAAGGTTCCATTGTCTTCCGTCTGCCAGATTTACGTGGGGCAGGGGCCAGCACCTCCTCCCAAGGAAGCTCTCACTTTGGGCGGCCCCTCTGTTCATAGTGAACAGTGAGAGTGACAACAATGAGTAAAGCCGCTCCTCGGTCTCGTTGTTCGGCCTATGCCCATGGATGTTGACATACAATGTGACAGAAAGAAGATAAAGAATACTGTCGAGCCTTGCGCTCGTGTCATGGCTCTTGCTCCTGATGGCTGTAGCTGCAATGTCCTGTGTGATGGTAGGATCAAGACATGGGTGCACAGGATTGACTCTTTCCTCTTGTCTTGTTTGGTTGACTTTGTTGCTTCAACACCATTGATGTTGGCATTGGGTGATTTCTTTGAACGGCCACGCTTCCCAGGTGAGACTCAAACTGTTGTGTGGGTTAAGAGATTGCAAGAAACAATGTTGCGCTTACGGCATCAGCACATGTAGAATGTATGGCTGGGCCAAAGGCCAACGGTAGAGATCAACTGAGCCTTTTCGATTCGGCTTCACGAGTCTGCACGCATCGGTCCGCCTTGCTCTCTGCATCATTCCTGCCGAGGTCAACGAGGTCAAAGCGTCACGAGGATGTTCCACTCGACACAGACTTTGTCATTCAAAGCTGTAACTCAATCTTCAAACTGCCAAAAAGAATCTTCACACTGCTTGAGTTCTCCACTGCTTTACTCTTTGCAAAAAAGTTTGATTCTGCACCCAGTAGATTGGGGTCAACACGTGACGTGTTTGGCAATCATTGGGCGTACTCTAAATAGGATGCATTGATGTCTGATAGTTTTTGACTCTTTGGCCTTATAGTGCTACCCTTGGCATCAGGGTAATCCTGAAAGGTGCTGCAGTAATGAGAAACAACTTCTGTACGACTCAAGACAACTGAAGGTCATGTGTTCTGCTCTGAACACGCTTAGTAACATCCCTCTACAAAAGTCCTGAAGCTCGTTCAGCGGCCTTGTAGCTAAAACAAGGTGTGATCTTTGAGTGTCATTCAGATTGTTTCTCAATGCCACCAGTAGCTCTGCCTGGAATCTGAAGCTGGAGCAGCTGGAACAACTGGAGGAGCTGGGGCAGCCGGGGCTGGAGTTGGAAGAATCTCCTCAACAGCCACGTAAGCCCGAACATCTTCTCTGGCATGAGCGGCATGAGCGAAATGCTTCAAGTCGCTTTGCCTTGTTTATACACGTTGAAAGATAGCACGCGCCGTTTTGACAGCTGCGATTTGGGCCTCCGGTGGGCATGAACGCGCATGTGCTAGTGTCCCTCCTGTCATCTAGGCTATGAGTACTCTGGAATGCTGGTGAAATCTAACACGCCCCCTATGGCAGAAGGGACACAATGAGCACAGGCCTTGATGGCCTTGGCACTTGAAGTCTGTGCCAAATGACTGCAGTCATGGGTGTGGTAACATCCACCTGTACGCGTTACCCACCACTCCTTTCTCTCAATTGTGAAACGTGCTGATCCAAGCTTCTCTCTCACCACTGTGTTCGCTTGGACCATGATCTCCTTGGATCTTTTCTTCCACAGCTCAACAGTCTCCCAGGCCCTTGCACAGTCTCCATCTCGGCTGCATGTTCTTCTTGTGTGCCACTGGACCCGGTCATCTTTGCCATCATCTTGTCTCTATCCTCCTTGACATTTTCCAGCTCAAAGCGTAGGTCACTGCACATGTTGTACATCCTGATGACCTCGCGATGCTGGACATCTCTGTCCTTTCGAATCTCTTTCATCTTCTCTTCCTGTTCAGCCACCACGACCTCGAGCTGAACGATTTGCCATTGCATGTTCACTTTGTCTTGATCTTCTTCTTGCCAGGGCTCTTCGGGTTGTGTTGCTATCAACTCATCTTCACTTCTCACAAGCGGTTCGTCCGCCTGCTTAGGTCGCCGCTCATCCTGCTTCTCCTCGATGACCTCCTCATAGGCTCGTCTTCCACTCAGCCATGCTCGCACTCCATCCATTGCCAGCCGTGCCAAGCTCAAGGCCCCAATCATCGACAGGCATAGCATGGTCACCAGTGGCCGAACCCACCAGGATTCATCATCTTCATTCTCATCTTTTGCTTCTTCTGGAACTTCTGCACTCTGTCCACCTTGTAGGAGTGACAGAGCTATCACCAATGCCACTTTGGCGTTTGCGCCCATTGTCTTGGCCATCTTGGTGGTGTTCTTCTTGAGCTCTTCCTTCAACTTGATCTCATCGTATTGGGCTTTCCCGATCTTCTCATCGTCGGCATCGATCATTCTGATCAGGTCCTTGAGGCCGTTCATCCTGGCCTTGCTCAAGATTTTGGTCCCAAGGTCACTTGAATTCACCGCCGTTGGGATCCCAGTGATGCGGACCTCTTTGGCATTGACTCGCTGCTGAAGCCATAGCAGCCCAGCTGCTATGCGCCTTGTCCTCCCAACTCCGATGCGTCCGGCCAAAGCTCTTGCAGCTGACGAGTCGGACCTGCAAACCATCTCTGCTTCTTCACTGTCAGGAATTGCCAGCAATGTCGGATGAATATGCCTTCGCTGCAGCCACCAACCATAGCAACGTACTCGCTTTCTCCACTCGACAAAGCGATTGAACGCTGGCTCCTGACATAGCTCTCGACCAAGCATCCGTTGAGGAAGATCTGCACTGAGCTCACCGACTTTCGACTGTCCCGCTGACCTGCATAGTCTGCATCACAAATGACTTCTAAAATGCTTTTGCTCTCCTGGTCGATGTCCCACTCGTAGATGTTGTCGTCCGTATTCAGCATGCATCGACCTTTGGCTCCATGTTCAAACAAAATGCCTTCATTCATGGTGCCGAGCAAGTAGGAGCTTACGTGCTGCATTGCCCGCCAACCTTTCTTCGTCGGGCATGACATCAGACTTGCAAGTCCTTGGGCCACATACTGGATGTCTGGCCTATCGGGTGCAATGTACAGGAGCTTGCCGACTGCACTCCTGTACTTGGTGATGTCTTCTTGGTTCATGGCCTCATCCTCTTTGCTGACCTTGTTGAAGTTTCCATCACCTGGCGTGGACCTGAACTTCTTCTGATCAACCTTCGTCAACTTGGCCAAATCCTTGATGTGCTGCTGGTCCGGACGAATTGCGATGCCCTTCTCAATGATCTCCATCTGCTTCTTCAGGTAGCTGAAACCTCCTGAATGGAGCGGCCCACGTTTCTCTGTCTTCCAGCCCTTGTCCTCCATAAACTTGATGAAGCCTTCTGCCGCTTTCTCAACACCCACCAACAGCAGATCATCCACATGGATGGTGAGGTACAAGCGGCCATCTTTTGGGTCGTCATCCTTTTGGGCCATCTTCATCATTGTGGGCTGCATCACATCTTGCACCAAACCATATTCTTTTGCAACTCTGCAGATGCCTTTGAACCATTGCGCTGCTGCATTTCGCTGACCCGGAAGGTTCTTCTTCAACTTGTATTGGGCATTCTCTGTCACGATCATTGCCCGCTCATCTTCCGGTTGGTCCATCAACAGGAAGGCGTCTTTCACATCCAGGGTGTATAGTGCCAAACCTGTTCTCATCTGGAGTTGCAGCAGCATTCGAACCACCACTGATGCTGAGGTTGGAGCAAAGGCATCTTCAGTAAAGACAGACCATTTGAACTGTCTGCCCACCAGCCTGGCTCGTCGGAACCAACCGCCTTGCTCATCTCGATGCTTCCATGTGATGACCATTTTGGATGTCAACACATACGACCCATCCTCAGCCTCTTCATCGTCTTTCATCCTCTCCAGCACTCCCATTGCCTCAAGGCGTGCTTCTTCACGCTTGCACGCTTCTGCATCCAGTCTGGCCAGTTCTTCGTCGTCGACCACAGGTGGCTTGCCCTTGCTCGTGTCGGGCTCCTCCTCCTCGTCACTGACAGCATTGCTGATGCTGTAGGGCTTCTTCTGCAATCATCTCATCACCACCTGGGAATTCCTCCTGGATGCTCCTGACACGACGCTTGGGACTCATGCGTCTCTTCTCATCGTCTTCATCGTCCCAAGGGAGTGCATACCCTCTCTTGCTCAGCAGAGGTGGTGTCACGGGTGCTAGGTTGCCAACTACATCTTCCAACCGCTGTCTCTTTGGACTGACCTCATGGGCACCTGGAGGGAAATTGCCAGCTGGTTCGCCTCTCATAGCCTCGGGGATTGGCAGTCGGGCGATTTTCCGCTTGGGGCTTTCTTCAGCCTCCCCCAATGGCAACCGATGAAGGCTCCTTGGATCCAATGCCTTGGAACTTGATTCATTGCTCTTGGCTGCCACCGCTGTTGGTGGAGGTGGTGCTGCTGCTGCAGGTGTGGCTGGTACAGGTACAATCATGGGAGTCTTTGTACCTGGTGTTTTGGTCCCTCCTGGCTTGTTGCCTGGTGTCGGAGGTGCTGGCGTTCGTGCTGGTGTCTTGGGGTGTCCTTCTGATGGGAACCCTGGAGTGGTTGGTCCCAGCGCGTGACCATACATACCAACAGCCACTTGTTCACCCACTGCTTTGGCTTCCTTCTCAACCTCCTCATCGCCAGTTGCTTCCTCCGCCCTGTCAGCCACTCGTTGCCTGGCAGCAAACTTGGTCTTCATCAGAATGCCCTGCACTGAATATTGCCAGGGTAGACCTCGGCAGCGAACTAGCATCTGACCATCAAACTGCTCAGGCAACCTCCTGATGGATCTTGCTTCAACTGCTCCAGATCTAGTGAGGCAGATGTGGCTGTCACTCCACGAGCTCTTTCCGACCCATACACCCTTCCGGTACACAGGGTCTCCTTTGCGCTTGAACGAGGCAACATCTTTGAACAGCACCGTCTCTCCCCATAGGGCCACTTTTCCCACATAGCGTCTGTCGGTGAGGAACTCGAAGGATGTGGACCCGTTGATGACCCGGTACCTCAGCAGTAGCCATGCAGCATGCCTGAAGCTCCAAGGATAGCAGTGCATGTCGCCAGTCAACTTCACTCCAGCTTTCTCCTCTGCGAACTGCCTGAGGGTGTTGGCCAGTTTGCGGACTGATTGCACTGTCCGCTCGGCTTGACCGTTCGATGCATGTTGATCTCTTCAGGTAGTTCGAATCTCTGTGGTCAAACCGAGAGTGGCTCGGGCATGTTGGATTGCCCTCAAGATCTGACGAGTTGCACGCTCGCCGGCCGACTGGAAGATGATGGGTTGCGTGTTGCGCACCTGCATGCTGAATCTAGTGAGCTCCTCAGTGACTTGCTTGAGTGATGCACTGCCCTTTGCCTGCACAGGGATACAGAGGGTGGCTTTCGACTCTGATTCGGCCACATATAGCGCTGTTCCCCATTGTCGATCTTCAGGAGCTCCAGAGGTAAAAGTGAACCCATAATCAAAACTGATCACAGGTCGTCCTCTGTCCTTCCGCTCACCCTGGCTCTCTTTGGTCCTTGGGTCTTCCTTTGACCTGGTGGCTACACATTGTTGGCACCATGACTGGAAGGGTAGGTGCGTCAGCTGGTGAAGTTCTTGCTCGTGCCTGCTAGGCAACTTTGGTGTCTTCAGTGGCACCGCTTCACGTCGACTCTCAGAAAAGAGCCTTTGTGCCACCTCATAGGCCAGCTTCTCCTCCTCCTGATGCTTGTAGCGCTGGAGCCTCTTCAGCACCTTGATCTTCGAGCCTGAGGTTGCCAAGTTCAACCGTTTGCAGATGTCCTGAAGGTCCTTCAACTTCGTCTCCTTGTCGAACCACAGGTCGTCTATCTGCACCCTCAGCTCTTCGGGGTCAATGAACTGGATGTCCTCCGCAATCTCAGCTCTTCCTCCACTGCCAGCTGCCAACATAGGGAACTCACCGCCTTCTTCATCTCGTTCATCATCTGGCCATGAAGACGGTTCTCCTTGCAGCAATGGATATTGGCTCACAGGGACCTCCGAATTCCAGACAAAATAATCTCGAATCAAATCTGGGGCCACGAAAGTCAATGCAGGTCGAGGTCCTCCTGGAATTGGCCTGAATGGCACAGGTGTATCACGATACACAGCTAAGCTCTCAATCTGCTCCCAAAGTCCGCTGTTGTCCTTCTTCTTGAGCAGCGTCATTCGCGCACACCATTCATCACCAAAGGAGAGACTTGGATCCAGGAAGTGTGTGGCTTGAGGGCTAGAGTGAACCACAATTCCATTGGGCAATGCGTGCCACCCTGGCACCTTCTCCAGCAGTGCAAGCTCTCTGGAGATGTATCCATGTAGCGCTCGTCCTTCACCTCGAACTGGAAAGACGTGGTTCTCATCAGCATCAACCTCCATCTCTGGGCTGTCTGACAGTTCCAAGGGCTCACTCTTCACTTCTCCATGCCTTAGCTTCCAGTTCGCCCATCGTGCCATTCTTGCTTTCACTCGTCCATCTTCACTGCTGCTCGCTTCCACCACCACATCACCTGACTCCTCCGTGGTGTAGCCCGGCGAACGAAGTTCCATGGCCTCTGCCTCCGATGTCTTTGACTTCTTCAGAGGTGTCTCTTCTGCTGGTCGATCAGCAGCTGTGGGTGGTATTTGTTCTGACAGTTCCTCCATCAGGGCCAATGTCTCATCAACATCAGGACTGGCAGCTCGCTTCACTCCTCGGTCGCTCTCTCCGGGACTTGGATGTTGTTCAATTCCGGATGCATTGGCTGCCGATTTCTCCTCATTCTCGGGGACCTCCTCAGCTGGTGTGGCCCTGTCATTCGAAACAGCTTCATTTTCCTTGAGCGCTGCCTCATTCTTGGGGACTTCATTCTCAACCGTCAAGGGCTCATCTTCTGTCTCGTCTGCCCGGACTGCACAAACCTGGACATCCATCACTAAGGAATTGCGCTCCAAGCGTGCAGGAATCTTCATCTTCTTTTCAGGGTGCTCGACATAAAGACCATCTTGATCTCTTGACAACACCCAGCCCTGTTTGAGCAATCGTCCAAAGCTCAGCAATGGATGTGATACTCCAACTCCCAGGGCAAACTGCTCAACAAATTCAATGAGCTCTCCATCACGGGTGTAGGCCTGCAGTCGAAGTCTGCGGTTCCCTGAACTTCTGATCGCTCCTCCTTGAGCGTCCATCATTGCCACTGAGCGGGAAGTACCTGGCATGCCCATAGCATAGAACTCCTCCGGTGCAACTGACACATCTGCTCCAGAGTCCAATGTCAGGGAAATCGTAGGCGCATCGTGCTTCACCATGCAGACTCGGACTTCCAATGCTTCGTCCTTGGCGTATTGGGCTCGTAGGTCATGATCTCCTGTACCTCCCAAAGGCGAAGTCCCAGGTGGCTCAACCTCAATCTCGCTCTGGCAGTCATAGAAGGTCTCCTCATCGACCTCGTCATGCACTTCTCTCACGACCAAAATGGTCATGGCCAGGTCCTCGCTCTCCTCTGCTGTCTCCGGCTCTTCCGCTGAAAAATCCTGCGCCAAGTCGAAGATCTCCATGGTTGCCAGGCCTGTAGGCGTGACCAGCCGCACTCTCCTGACTCCAGCTCTGTGCGTAGAGTGGGAGGTTGCACCAGTTGACGCTCCAGTCGCCTGACCTTGCTCTCTTCCAGCCTGAGTCATTTGTTGACTCTTGTTCAACTCCTGGCTCTCGTGCTCCTCAACCTTGTTGATCTTCCTGGGAGCCCAGCACTCTCGGGCAAAATGCCCAGGCTTGCCGCAATTATGGCATGTGCCAGCTCCTCCTTTGCCCTTCTTGCCGTCCTGCTTGCCAGAGCCCTTCATGGCTTTGCCACCTTTTTTGCCTCCGTCCTTGGACCAGGGGTTCTTGCCTTTCTGCGTCTTGCCCTTGTCCTTTCCTTTCTTGCCCTTCTTTCCACCTTTCTTGCCACCTTTGGACCAGATTGCATCCACCTCCATAGGGCCACCACGATCTTCTTGGTCCATCAGCGGCTTGACATTCATCTGCAGGCTCCCATCACTCATCCACCTTTGGCTGACCTGCTCGTACATCTCGATCCTTTGTCGAAGGTCCTCGAACGTGGTCTCGTCTTGCAAGGTCATCTGGATGTGGAGCCTCAAGGTGGAGGGCAATGCAGCAATCACCGAAGCAATCTTCAGATCATCCGGGTAGGTCACATTGGCACTTCGTTCATACTCTCTCACCATCAGGTCGAACTGCGGAAGCTGTGCTCGGTCACAGTCTTGTTCACGTCGAACTGGATCTTGTTGAGGGATTGGATCAAAGCCAATGACCTCTGCCTGGTCTTCGGCTGCAGTCTCTGGTGAGAGTGCGCCAGGCCTCAAGTCCATTTTGATTGGCCACTCCCCTGACTAGTCGTAGTGGTCGTTGCTTCATCAATCCTGTCAACAGGGAGTATAGGCGCTCGGACTGGGGACGGATGTTCGGCAAGGAGTCGTTGATGGCATTCTCTTCTTTCTCCGCTGACTTCATGTGGGCCAGCATTTGAGGATCTACTGCACCCACAAATGTTTCAAATTGAAACCGCCAGTCCATCCACCTATTCAACTCTTCACTTCGATTCTCAGGGGCGAAGTTGGTCGGTGGTTTCAGGTGCTTGGTGAATCCTGAGCTTTTCTGGACCTCTATGAGCCCGTGAAGGGCCTGAACCAGACCTTGAACTTGACTGATGGAGCCAGTTGCACCCGTAGTCGCCCCACCAGTGCCATCGGGCTCCTCGACGCCAGCCATGTGCGAGACCCGGCTTCTGACACTCACCCGGGCTTTCAGTGAGCCGCTCTAACCCCGGTGGATTAAGGGTCACCCTGGAGATGCTGGGGCTTCCAGCAGAGCTCCGCTACCATGAAAGATAGCACGCGCCGTTTTGACAGCTGCGATTTGGGCCTCCGGTGGGCATGAACGCGCATGTGCTAGTGTCCCTCCTGTCATCTAGGCTATGAGTACTCTGGAATGCTGGTGAAATCTAACACACGTTCAAAGTCTTATATACTGTATCTATCTGTCAGTTACCCAGTAAAGATGAGGTCATTGCGCATGACCACCAACATCCTTCGACGCATTTGCAGTACGTTGTCTCCCCCTGTTTGCTGTCCTCCGCTGGGGAGTTACCATCTGACATCAGCTGTCCGCCATCTTTGCCTCCGTGTCCGTGTATCTTGTGACACAAGATTCCACAGCAGGGTCGAATCTCGGAGAATCACACAGCGAATGCCAATGACTTCACTGGTACCTCAGGCGTGTGGTTGCCGCCCTTTGTCTTGCGGAACGTGGCCTACGTCAAGGCTTGGTCGCCATGGCTTATTGCGCTTCGCAACAAACCAAAGGAGGCAGCATCAAGCCTGTGGTACACTATTTGTTCTGTTCGTTATCTGCAGTCTCATAGCTTGCTATCGTTCGATAAAAGATCAGAAGCAAATTACTGTAAATCGACAAAGAATAATGTGTGTCACAAGGGCAGCGTAACCAAAATTAGCCTAGATCGTTGGAATGAAGTTGGTCTGCCAATCTTTTGGTGTTCTGCACATAATTCAAAGGGCTGATGAATTCTGGAAGGTCAGGCCAGGCTGATAAATTCTGGAGTTACAGTCCTTTACAGCATCACTTTGAGACGCCTTCGGTTTAATTGCTTCACCCCAGCAGCGTCGTACACTTTTTACGCACGGACGAGTTTTTCCCTGAAACTGCCGATTGCTGCGAACCTGTCACACTCGAGCATAGCAAACTAGTGCATGCATAATCAAATACGCATCATATGAATCATACAATATTGACAGCAAGTGGATTGATGGTAAGTTCACAATGGTTTTTCGTTGTTTTCCACTCAATTCTGAGGTCAAACCCTCAACGCCGCTGTCCTTGTTCCAGAGCGGGGAGGCTGGGCCTGATCTTCACGCGCCATCAAATGCCATTTGTTACTAGTGGCTTCTTGTTACTAGTAGTAATGCCAGGAGCTACTAATAGCGTCCTTGCTCCTAGTAGCGATGCCCTTTGTCACTAGTAGTTGTTCAGTGGTTCTTGCCTGATGCCGGAGAATACCGGATGGTGAGGAACTCGAGGTGGACCACACCTGTGAAGCGGCGATGCTGCTCTTCTCTTGTTTGCGAGGTTTGGTGTCCTACAATGTGTGATGCACGTGGTATATATATCAAGTGATGTCATGCGGGTACCAAAAACAACGTATGCACAATATGTGTACGTGTATATACTGTGTATATATGCGTGAGCTCTTTGAACCGCTCAAAGGGTCTTCAGGTTTGCATGTGTTATGCATGGTCGTGAGTTGGAATGCTTTGTTCTCGCACTCCTCCTTAGCTCCTGGCAGCTTAAGTTCCTGGAGCTACTAGAACTTCAAAGCCGTGCTATCCAGAAATTTCTGGTGCACTTCCATCTTCCTGTACACCATGACTCTACCAGCTGCATCTCCGGCTCGGTCAGCTACCACCCAATGGTCATGGAGCTGATTCATGTGTTCCTTCGCTCGTAGGCCTGATCGGCCTTCTGGTAGGTCAAGGTCACCAAGATCTTCCATCTTCAAGCGCTTGATTCGCTCGATCTCTTCATCATGCTTTCTTTTCTTCTCTGCCCTTCTCGCATCTCTTGTCGTCTCATCCTCAGGGTCACTCTCTGGTTCCCTCACTTCCAGGTACTCGGGGGAGATATGCACAAGTTGCCCTGACTCCAACTGTACCAGTGCTGTCTCACCCTCTTGTGTTGCTTCCCCTGGGACATTGTCTGGGAATGCCGCTGCCAAATCGATGGACTCGTCCTCAAACTCTTCATTGCACTTCCGTATCAGCAGCTCTTTTGCTTGGGCTTTCAACTTCTGCAGATTTGCATTCCTGTTGGACTTCTGCAGGTAGTCCCAACGCTGCCAATCCTCGTCCTTCATCTCTGTGTCATCCACGAACCCATCAATCTTGATAAGTCCTCTGTGCACCTTTTGGATGTACTCGGCCAACGTCTGCACTGCTTCCTTCACACCTTCTTGCTTCCTCTCTGACTCCTTCACCTCATAGTCGATGGCGCTGATCATCATTCCATCTGTCTTGCAGTCTTGCCGCAATTCATACAGAACTTCCTTCACTTCTCGCAAGCTCTTCCAGAGCAAATAGACCACACCAGCTAGGAGGATGATCGTCAGGACCAAGATGCCAATCACCCATCGTGCCATAGAGCTCGTTGATCTCTCCTCAACCGCTAGACAGGTGTTGCTCTCATCCATAGAGTTCCCGGCCACGTGCTCAAAACCCTCTAACAGCAGGATTCTGTTTAGCAGCTTGGCCAATCTGTCGATCTTCCCTTTGCTGACCAATCCATCAGCCATTCGATGATGTTCACCCACTCCAAGCCTCTGGTGTTCTTTGTTGTTGGTCCTGCACCAGTACAGGATCAAGTGGATCCGTGCCTTGCTCAGGGGTTTTGTCCCCAGGTCAGCCACGTTATACACTGTTCCAACCGACTTCACCCTGAGCTCCTCCTGCGCCACCAAGTCCTGTACCCACAACAACTTGCCTGCTATGTGTCGTAGGCGTCCAGGTCCCTTTCGATGACATAGGTGTAGGGCTGCAGAGTTGTCAACCAAGCAATGGTGGGTCACACTCTCTCCCACCAAGAACTCCAAACACGTCTTGAGGTATATCCCATCAGCTGCGGCTCCAACCAGTGCATTGAGCTCTGCCTCAGCTGAACTCAGGCTGACAGACTTCTGTCCTCTGGAGCTCGAGAACACCACCGTGCCATTCACCATGTGGATAGCCGCACTTGTAGATCTGCGGTGACTCTTCGATCCTGACCAATCGCTGTCCGAGAAAGTCTCCAGCAGCCATCTTGAGGTATCACATCGCGTCACCAATCCATGGCCTGCCTCTTCCAGTTCAAGGACTCCATATTGGCCCATAGTGGATTTCAGGTAGCCGATCATCTTTGCCAGCTTCTTTAGACTTCCTGTCGTGGGGCATGCCATGCTTGATGCCAGCTCTTTCACCGCAAAGCTGATGTCCATTCTCTCCTGGCTCAGGTAGATGCCACATCCAACCAATGATCGATATAAACCTGCCAGTTCAATCCCCAATGGTGACGTTCCATCTGGTTCCAGCATCTCCTGTCCACAGGGAAGTTGTTGGGTCTTCACCCTTCCCATCATAGCCTCATACTTCTCAACCATCTCTTCTGCGTACTTGCCTGGATAGACTCGTAAGGTGGGGTTCTCCTCTTCATTGACAAGCTCATAGGTCCGCCTCAGAAACTGGATCTGATCGTTCTCCTTCTCAATGTGCTGTTGTGAAATTTCAAATCGAGCTTGTATTGCAGGCAGGAAAACTTGACTTACATATGACTCCTTTCCCACAAACATGACGTCATCCACATGGATCAGAAGCATCATGTCATCGTTGCGCCTGCCCAAACAAGGGTTCTCATCCGCGAACTCGAATCCTCTCTCTCCCAGCCACGATGTGATGCACTCATACCATGCCTTTGCTCCAATACGTTGTCCAGGCAGGTTCTTGAGCGCTTCAAAGTGTCCATTGGGAGTTCTGAGCTGTGTAGGCACTGCTTGGTCAACTTGTAGGAAGGCGTCTTTTACGTCCAAGCTTCCCAGCCAGTACTTCTCACCGCCAGCTTCTTCCTCCTTCTTCCTCATGAGGTAGATGAGTGGAAGCAACCGTGAGGTCTCTGTCCACCCGTTGCTGGAGAATGCACTTCATCATTCCTTTCCAAGGCGTACTCCCGGGCAACCATTCTTGACCTCCTGAGCCACTGCTTCTTCCCATCTTCAGGCCTGGGCTTTGCTCTCCAATCATGCACAAACCTGGTGGGGTCCCTTCACAGCCCGAAGTACTCCCATTCGTTGCAATCTCTCCTCCTCAACCATGTCTGCGAGGTCATCCACACATTTAGGAGGATCAGGTGGTACACGATCAAGAGAAGCTGATGACCACAACTCCTTGAGCACATCTCCTCCTGGCAGCACCTCCTCTTCTTCCGGCTCCACATTCCAGCTGATGAGATCATCATCCCAAATGCTGTCATTGTGGTAGAATACATCACCTCCAACTTGGGTGGCTGCAATCCTCCTCTCCACATGCTGCACATCATCAAGCTTAGCCCTCTTTGGGTCAGGGCTCACCATCTCTAAGCCATGAACTGGCTTCTCCATCGTGGGCTTCAACTTCTTGGAGTCCTGCTCTGAGCTTTCCTCCATACATGCCTGCTTCTGTGCTGTGGTTCTCGGACTCGACGGTTGTCGTCCACTTGAGGGTCCGGCTTGATTGTTCTCTTCATCGATGAGGGGATGCACCTGAGCAATGGGGATCACCTCCAGCAATGCAGAGTCTTCCTCTCTGAAGCTGACCTTCTTGTCCTCATGAATCCTCTTTTCCTCTTCTTCATTGGCCTTCTCTTTCTCAGCTTCCTCATCATCCCTTCGTTGGTCAATCTTCCCAGCGTAGGACCTGGCGAAAGTGATCACCTCATAGGCCTCCTTATCTTCCTCTGCCAACTTCTCTAGATCTTCAACTGGGAGCGACGCAGCCGGTCCTTCCACCACTGCAGTCACCTTTTCGAGGGCACGATTCTTCCTCCGAAGTTTGTCTGATACTCCCAGCTGAAGGCACTGAATGCTTTGAAGCAGCTGAGAAAGGATTGCCAAGACTGCTCCACCCTGCGGATTGATCGACTCAAGAAGACTCGACTGCCATCTCCAATGATCCAACAATCCTGGGTCTCACTTTTCCCAAGGCATATTCCAATCTTCGACTTGGGATCCGCTTTGTAGCCCTGCTTTGGCTTGACATAGGCATGGACCACCTCCCCATACCGGCAAACCTTTCCCTCATAGGGCCTTCCATAGACGAGTTCATAGCTGGTAGTTCCCTGCGTGGCTTGGAACCTATTGAGAACCCAAGCGCTATGTCGGCAGCACCAGCTCCACAAGGGGTGTTGCGCACTAAAGCGCAAGCCTGTTTGTGTTGCGACCTCCTCCATGAGACTTGCTGCAACTCCTCTGATCCTCTGGAATGCGTTTTCTGCAAGGGAGTTGCCTGAGGAGTCGTACAGCTTGGTAGTCCTCATATGGGTTTCCAAACCAATTGCTGTCCTTGCTTGCACCAACAACTTCAG